CGACACAACAAGCCCTTCGTTATTGCGGATGCTGAGCAAGCCCATCGTCTCTCAGTTCGATCGGAAGAAGCAAGACAAACAACCCAGTCAGCTAGCCTTGTGCAGCTACTATAATCTTCTCTACTACGCCTTCCGTCCCTCGGCATCTTTTCAGCATCTTGATGTCGTCTGGGAAGAATATGTCGCTTCACCGGCTTCGAGCATTTTTTCGTCTGTACCCAGTCTCAGCGACAGGGTAGCCCACGTGCTATCAAATATGCTCTGGAGCCCGCAAGCGAAGGTTTGGTTGGAGAACAAGGTCAATGAGAGCAATAAGCTGGACCCTGAAGAGTTGCCATCCATTGACAGTAGGTGGATTCGGTCGAGGATAACCTCGGTTTTGAACGTTTTCGAGGAGATCTTCAAGTCTTCTGTCTGGAATCCCGATATTGAGCGGTCGAATATTGCTGCAGCCTGGATCGGCTTGGCCAAGGCCTTGTCACATGCGTCGAGCAAAGAGATTACGCCCACGCCAGAATCGATGCAAGCTGTAGCACACGTGCTTGGCCTTCTTCAGCGCCTCTGGAACGCCGGGCCCTCCTCGCTCAATGCGGCTATCGAGAAGGACTCAACGGATGCTTTCTATGACCGGTTCAGCTTTCTTGCCACCACTATGATCTACAGTCTTGGTAGCGCACGGTTTACCGAGAAATTACTCCTCAAGACAGCCGATGAGACTTTTCAGGCTGCTACTACGCCTACGCATCGTCATCAAAAGGCGAATACAAGTCTAGACAGTCCCATCCTACATTTTCTTCGATTTATCAGTGAACTACCTGGTCATTCGAGGCCTTCCCCGTCATATTCGCGCCTCGTTACCCGTGTTCTGGAAGCTACTTGCAGTGACAAGCTATCAAGGAGCTCACGTCTGGAATTCTTTAGCCAATGCGCAGATATACATGTGTTTGATGCGGCTGCTCATATTGGCGATGATAGTCTAGCTGAAACCGTGTGGAGGTCTGTGTCACAGCTGTCTGCAAGCTCTTTATCCTCTTTCCCTATGGAGACAGCTCGCGAACGTGACGGCTCAGTTTGCCGTGACTATGAGAACATTGTTAACATCCTTTCTGCCGGCTTGAAGTTCTCCGACGTGTTCGAAGTCTGGAATCCGCTTGTTGATTCTCTTATCCGCGTCGTAAGAACCGAAAAGGGTGATCGGGCTATTTCCACCATGGCCATGGAACCTCTTGCCGCATCTATCATAGAACAAGGGACACGGAATACCTGCAAGCCCTCCGCATCACTCTTGAAACTCTCGCTCTCAATTCCTTACGGCCACGAGGCGGAGACGGCAAAAGGAACTCATGAAATGGCCTTCCCTCACAAGCTGATCGAACTCGTGGATAAGACTCTTCGTCAGTCGTACGAAAGCTTTGATCCTGTCGAACCAAACGGCATTGCAGATTTCATCGAGTGCCTGACGTCTCTACTGGGATCGGGTGTACCTACTTTCCGTACAGCAATGCTCACACACCTCCAGCAGTCCCTTGCATTTTATCTCAAGGACGGGGAGCGCAAGATAAACGCCGAGAGTGGCGTGGAAAGCAGAATCCTTACTGCTGTAAGTGTACGAAGCAAGGGGCTTGTGTTACGTACTAACCTAGAATTAGTGTCGCGCGCTGTCGTCAGCCGTCTTGAACATCTTGCAAGCAGCACAACCTCACGACGCCTTCTGTGTACAAAAGTTCGAGCCTATAATCTGTGCGGGTCTTGAGTCCACACATGCCTCTGTGACAAAGAGATTTCTTGATTTCTGGCGTTGTTCGTTTGGATCACAAGAGTCTTTGCCCTGCCCCGAGACAATATCTCGCGCGCTACATGATATTGAACTCCAGATGAAGCTCCAGCAGCCACATGGTCTTCGGCAAAATTCACAGGTACGTATTCTTTTTGAAGTTTCAGCTTGCCCTGCTAAGACTTTTTAGTCCGAGGCACAATCCGATCATCAGGACGCAAAGACCATTCCAATCGACACATCGGTCAAGTCTCGCATTGCTTTCATTCTTGATGATCCATTCACATTGGGGCTGAACTCGTCGCCTATAACCGGAGGGTCTGAGCGTAAAGCCATGCCTACGTCTTCGGAGAAGCAGACCGGACATCCAGCAGGCCAAATATCCCAGGCTGATGATGACTCTGATCCGGATGTGGCCACAGGTCATTCGATGCCCCTCCCAACGGGATCCGGAGACCCTAGGAAGCGTAGCGAGTTGTTTTCGATCATTGAGAGCCTTCGTTCGTCTTCACCTCCGACGAATACTCCAAGAGAACTCGGTTTCATGACGCCCCCGCACTTGCGCGACCTGCGCAACGCGGATACCGACGCCGGGACTCCACAAACCCCTACCCTACCACCTGTCGCCACTGACAACGAATACGGGTTTCTCGGTTCTTCCCCTACGCCGGGTACTCGAAGCCGAACGCAATTGAGCGAACCAGAGATACCCCAATCGCTGTCGACTCCAGCGGCAGAAGAGTCTGTCCTAGAAAACGACCTTCAATCCTCCCCTCCAAAGCTGAAATCGACCAGTCCTGAACCTCGAAGTAACACAGGAAACATGAACACACCAGGATCAGGGAACACTGCGTCGAACAGGAGCAGAAGATCGAAGAGGAGGGCCCGGCGTTCGTCAAGGCAGAAGAAGGCAATGAACGCTCAGTCCAGTCAACCGGAAGCGACTGATGAAAGCATGGCAGTTGATTCAGAGCCACTGACGAAGCGTCTCCGTTCATCGACAGGCAAATTGCCAGAAGACAAAAGTCTCTCCACTGAAGACAGGCAATCGAAGGATTCGTCAAAGAATGGCTCTCGTGACTCTGGGCTTTCCCAAGACCCTGTTACGGATTCTGGTGCTACTGAGGAGCCTGTCATCGAGCCAGAGCACCAGGTTAATGCTGAGCAACCGAAAGACAAAGAAAAACAACAAACAGACGGCTACGACTACATAGCGGACTCATGCAGCGACGACATGGAGACCCAGGTTGCGTCTCAGTTGGAGCAGGATCTAGAACTCGCTGTAGATCTGGACGACACAGCGAGTATAGAACATGCAACAGCTTCGGGGCAGGGTGCGAATAAGAAACGAAAGCGCGAGGCAGAGCAATCTACACCTTCGGGCAAAGAGCGGCGTCGCTCTTCAAGACTCACAAAGACGCCTTCTGTCGTAGATATCGAGGGAGGCCGTGCTACTCGGTCTAAGAGACCGATGACCGTGTCACAGGAGGTCGAATCATCCCCTGCTGAATCGGCGCCGAAGCGACGGAAGACCGAGTCTAAGGGTGATCTGACTAGCACGAGCAAGCCCGCCGAGCAAGCAGCTAGTACTGATAGCGGGAAGACCAAGGCCGTGGATACCCAAGACAGCTCCCAAAAACGCAGATCCTCTCGTCTCAGCGGACAGGCGGCGCCAGCCATTTCTGAGGAGAGCCCGCTTCCGAAGAGGTCACCACGACCTAGTCGTTCTCGCAAGGCGACCAAAGACAAGGCCAAAGACAGCATACCAGAAGAGCCTCAACTTAGAGAAGATGTCGAGACCCATCACGACGAGACTCCTACTAGAGATGCGGTGGACCAAGCTGTCAAGGATGAAAAAGAGTCCAAGATCATTGTTGAAGCTAAACCAACTGAGCAACTCCCAGAACCGGATAGCTCAGTGCAGCCTCCAACAGAAGCTCAGGTTGACGAACTGATGGATGAGCCGGTGCCCGAGACCCAGCAAACGGCTCCTGATGACGTGCCAATGGAAGACGCGCCCACAGTGACCGACCCCATCCCTGAGAAGAAGGCGCCATCTGAAGAGAAGGATCTGGAGAAGGAAAAGAAGACGCGAGCAGTATCCCGCACAACGCAGACCGAAGGCCAGAAGGAGCCAGAGATCACAGAGGCGGGTATCACAGACTCCCTCCGTAAAGTCTTGAGCGATGTGAAACTGGCCAAGTTGGATCGAAACTCGCTGAAGGAAATTGACGATTTACTATTTGATATCCGGGTGGAAACGCATGAGGCATTGAGGAGAAACACCGGTTGAATGGATTTTGCATAGCGATGGCGTTGTACTTTTGTCTATATCCTAGTATCAATATTTTATACTCCTTGCTTTTTTTTTGTCTGTCTGTCTGACTGTTTTATTTTGTGACCATGGCCATCAAAAGAAGTCTCATTTGTTTATGATCCTGTGCTTGATTTGCCATTATTCTTTCGGTCTTATGTTCTATTATAAGATGGACGATGCGGAAGCTGAATGTACTCATCACGCTTTTAAGACTGGAGAATGCAATTGTAATACCAGCATACCATAAACTACATTCTAATCCCAATCACTAGTCACTACAAGTTTCTTTAACTAACTAGTTAGTAGTTCAAGATGATTAATCCGCGCATTCCTTGGCCGCTGACAGGAGGACCAGTCAGTCCGTCATCTCATCCTCACTGCCACACCCATCAGGAGGCTTACTACTACTTACCAACCGACCAACCAACCAACCATGCTTATCCTCCGGGGCGTCTCACAGGGGTCCCCTAAAACCCGAGCATATCAGTCAGCTAAATACTAACTTACCTACTTCATCTATCCATCAGAACTGAGTCTCTACCCTCAGCATGACCACACTAATGACCCAACCCTGAATCAAAGCCTTAAAAGTCGTCAGTCAGACTGGCGTCATGGTCCCGAAGAAACGAGGAAAAGAAACCCGATAGCAAGTGGTGGTGTATTCACTAACTAAACTAATCTTCCAACACAACACTTTGATTTTTGTTTTCTTATCGCGGGGTCTATGACTGCGATATAGTGTGCTTTACTTACTCACTCAGCTCTTACTTTGTTGGGATCATACTGTCTACCTACCTGGATAGATAGATAGGTAGTTTGTAGTGTGAGTATGTCCCTATCTACCTACCTTATTTATTCATATAATAGCTGGAATACTAACAAAGAAGACCATCGCAACAGCACTACATCATGGTCCAAGTATCCTCTCTAGCATTAGTAGGCTATCTAGCTCCAGTGCTCGTTACGTTTCTGCTCTTTATAACATGGTATGTATGTTTTTCCATCCATTACGAGGGGTATATATCGCAAAGTCTCTCCATACAAGAAAACCATATATCACTAGGAACTCAAGCTGATCTGGATAAAATCGCAGGCTCATCCTCGGCGCCCGCCGTCGCCGTCGCCGTCGTCGCCTCTACGGCCCTACATACCCCTACTCGGACGCCGAAATGGCGGCGGCGGCGGTGGGGGGACAACGTAATCCCCGGATCGTGATCTCGCAGCAGCTTATCGAGGTACTTTATCCGCAGGTGAAGTACAAGGACTGGTTGGCTGGGAGGCAGAATGAGCAGCAGCAGCAGCAGCAGCAGCAGCAACAACAGGATCAACCATCCGGTGCGATAGCGCAAGTGAGATCCACATCTGGAGTTAATACTTCCTGTGGATCGCCAAACAACATCAACACCAACACCAACATCAACGATAGCCAAAAAAGAGACAAAGACACAGAAGATGCAGATACAAGCGGAGACAACCACCGCACGTGCGCAATATGCATAGACCAGTTCGCCGATGACGACGAGATCCGATCCCTCCCGTGTCGACATATCTTCCATACGGTGTGTTTGGATCCGTGGGTTACGAAGAAGAATGCGTTTTGTCCATTGTGTAAGAGGGCTTTGTGTGGGGCGAAGAAGGGGGATAGTGGAAGTGGAGGGGATAGGAGGAGTTGGCCTTGGAGGAGGCAATCGCAGAGGGCGAGTGCGAGGGTGGTTTCGGTTTCGGTGCCGGAGGCGGCGGTTGTTAGGGGGTCGGTTTAGTTCATATGTTGCTTTAGGCAATTGGGGTGGTGAGTGGCTTTGTCTGGAGATGATGGGGGGAAGGATAGGTCTTGGTGGAGAGGATATCATACAATACTAAACGTACGCGGAGTACGCAATATACAATACTAGGGTAAAATTCTATTTCAATCTCAACTTAGGCATCCATCGTCACTGCATGATTATTCACGTAAAGTTAAACTTATCCTGTTATCCCAGTTACAACCGGGGCCGGATAGTCTGTCCACCTTCCCAAGATTCACCCGCCTCCAGGCTCTGCCAGCCAGCAACGGAACCGGCCTCGACACAAAGCATGTTCTTGTATGCCTCGTCAGGACCAAAGTCCGCCATGCCCTTGGCCTTCTCGATCCAGGGGTTCCACACGACCACATCCGTCAATGCCTCCCTTGTGATAGAGAAGAGAGGCTGATCATCCGACGCCGTGGACACGATAATCGGCACCTTCGGATCCAATGCCTTGTACACACGATCCGTTTCCTTGTTGATTTCCACTGCCTCCGAAGTCTCCGTGATAGCTGCACCGCCCTGAGTCTTGTCCAAGTATTCTTTTTGCTGGAGGTTCTTGACCCGGACGTTCGTGATGTCCTACATGCCTCGTTAGCCTGAATTTAGCGCTGCAATTGGGTCGTGACATACTTCAACACTCAGATACGTATGCATCAACACCTGGAAATCGAAATTCTGCTCGCCCTGGTTCTGCACCTGCAGAGAAGTCTCCAAGCTTCCCTTTGTCAAAGTCACGCTATACACGAGTCCAAACTTGTACGGCCAGGCCTTCTGGAACTCCTCGCTCAGCATGGGATGCGATAGTCCGAAGTCCAATTTCACAGCGTCTTCGCCTTCTTTCCGGTCGCGGCCGAAGGCTTCGGACGAGGATTTGCCAAGGAATTCCCAGTTCGAGTTCCGGGCGAAGCCGTGTTGGGGGAGGGCAGAGGTGGCGTGAGTGGAGGGAGGAGGACCGAAGACCTGATTTGGTAAGAATAGGAGTTAGTTGGTTTGAATTTTGACGGAGTACTAGAGTGGAGGTAATAGAAAACAAGCGGGCTATTCAGTAGTCATTGACTTGTAAAGAACATACCGGGAATACGACAGGAATTCCACCCCGGATAGGCTTGGAACCATCTAGGTTAGCCTTCTCGCTCACGAAGAGCTGTTCCTTGCCATTGGCAAGCTTCCAGGAGGTGACGGTGGCTCCATAGAGATACACGGTGACGGACTCGCCGGTGGGGAGGGTAGCTTCAACGGTGTTGTCGCGGAGGGAGATGGTGGGTTGGGGAAGAGAGGCACCGACGCCGATGGCGGCAGGCTTGTTAGAGCGATCCATGATGGTGGTTGGAAGTTAAGATGAAGGTATTCAAGGTGGAAGGGAGAAGGGGAAAGAGCAGCAAAGACGGAGGATGGATGCGGGGAGGCCGGAGTCAACTGAACCGGCGGGGCGGCGGGGCATTGGCGTCATTCGTCCCTCGCCGTTTCAGTTTACGAGCACAACTCATCCCCTTCCATTTCTTATCTTCCTATTGTCGAGGTGCATGTTTCATAGCATGTGATGTGTCTGGACAATAGTTTGAGTCTTCGAATTTTTTCAAGATATTTAGATGTCCCAATTCAGTTGATCAATGCAATGACATCACATGTTTGCTTTCCGTCAGGGTCCAAAGTCAATGCTAAGCTCGATCCAGGGACTTGAGAGAATGCAGATCTGTAAGTGTAGCACTGATATCAACAATAGACGAAAGACGTCGAGGGAACTAAGATATGTATGAGGCTATCCTAACCTCTATGTTACTTGCAGTCCAAACTTCGTCTTTTTATGATGGGTAGCACCTAGAACCATGCCCTATCGGCTGTGCACACCTTATTTGACTCTGTCCACAGTTTCAGCCACTTCTTTGAATTATCAGCAACAGTAGCTTAAAGAGCCAGTCAGTACTTGGTCTATTATGTCCCTACGGCTCCCATGTTTAATAGGGAGATATAGCCGTTGAATTCACCTTGAGTGACGGGCATATTGCGGAGACTCAGAGTAGTATGACAAGATTTCTTCGTTCATTTTCTGTTTTTTGAATCCATACATCAATGCACGTACATACTCCTTGGATTTCCACCCTCTCCCAGATAACAATAGTCATCATCGAAATACAATTACCTCCAAGTGCAATGGCTCAAATTGGAAGTACACCTATCCAACTCTATCCTTTCTCATCTGTCCCTCCTAATGTTCGTCTCATATTAACCAATCTGTCAAACACCATGGGATTAGTAGATAGTACGCCTATACAGAAATTAGACACATTAATACTAAGTATATAGTTAGTACTAGTGCTGTTCACGAATGGCCCAAAGAAATGCCGAACCTGCATTGAAAACATACTAGTTTAGAACAAAATCGCGAATCGAAGACACCTAACGACATACAATAGGTAGGTGTCTTCTCACTATGAAACTACTAACTATTACTGTTTAATTGCAGGCTATAGTATTAATGATGATACGGTGCTCTTATTCTATGGCCTCTTTTCGGAGTTGGAATCCTTCGGTGGTGTTAGCGCAGCGTGGGCAGATCATTACTGCTCCTGAGAACCGATAGCATAAAGTACGAGTTTTACTATTTGGACTAATGATCTGACTAAGAATACACCCATTATAAAATATGATATGGAAATATGGTACCCTGAACACACAAAGAAGGAATACCTATGGAGCCACAAAGTAAAAAAAAAGTACGATATTCGCCACCATACCCAACAAAGCAACCCAACCCAACCAGGCTACCCTACCAATAGCACCGACAATCCAGCCAGCCATCCAGCACCCCCAAATCCCACACACTCAATCCACACAAACAAACCCCCCACTCCAGCAGAGAAAAAAAATTCATTTCACAAAGTCTCGTACCAATAGCCCCATCACCCAAGATCCACTTTCCACCCTAAAAAGGGTCCAAAACATGGTTCCCGAGCTGTCAAAAGAGCGAAAACGACCAACCAGCACCCACCATATAGGACTAAAATTGAGTGGGTATTCTAACAACCGGCGCCAATCGTCTAGTGGTTAGGATGCAACCTTCCCAATCTGACATTGGATCAGGTTGCGACGCGAGTTCGAATCTCGCTTGGCGCAGTTTTTTACTTGTCTCTTTTTTCTTTTGTTGCTATATAATAACAATAGGTGATATGGAGTATATGGTTTTGGCATTGAGTTAAGATACTCTTTTTTTTTTGTCCTATATGGTTTGGTCAGATATTCTACATCTGGTTAATGAATTCCTCAATTTGTGCATCCCTTGAGGACACTACTATACACTGTATCGACATACATCAAAGCCATCGTCCTACACACCTCTACTACTACCACCCTCCTCTCTATCTCCCTCCCCCAACTCATCACCAACCTTAAACGGATTCTTCTTCACCAAAACCGCCGCCACAAACACACTCCCCGCCAACGCAACTGCCAACAAGAAAGTCCCCCTAACTGCAACATCGTATGCCCCTATCACCGCCTCCAAGTACTTCCCAGGCAACTTACCCTCCAAGCTCGTCGCACCCAAATGCGTCACCATCACCGGATCCAACCCGGGCACACTCTCCGCTAAAGCCCCCGTCAACCGGTTCAAGAATATCGCCTGCGCAACACTGATGAACACCGCTTCTCCGATGTCCTGCGAAAAGGTCATCAGCGCCATGCCAATGGAGATGTCCTTCATGGGGAGGATGGCCTGCACGGCGATGAAGGGCACGCCGACGGCGCTGCCGGAGCCGAGGCCTAGGAGGATGAGTGATGGGATCCAAATCTTGGCGGGCGTGGTGGGGGTGAAGGTTGTCATGAGAGCGATGCCGGCGATGACGAGGAGGGAGGCGGGGAGGAGGATCGGGGTGTAGGTGCGTGTGCGGGAGATGAGCCAACCGCCGGTGATGGCGCTGATGAGGACGGAGATGACTAGGGGGAGGGTGTTGAGGCCGCTTTGGAGGGGGGTGGCGTTGCGGACGGTTTGGAACCAGATTGAGAGCTGGGGTTGGTTAGTTCGTGTCTAGAGGGTAGGGATGGAGATGGGGAGTGTACGTAGTATTGGACGATGGCGCGGCAGGCTGAGAGACATAGGCTGAAGGCCGCGCCGGTTATAATGATGCGTTTACGGAGGACCCGCGGTGGGAGCATGGCGGTGTCTTGTTTGCGGTGCTGGAGGAGACAGAAGCCCGTGAAGATGATGGGCGAGAGGACAAGAAGGGCGATGATTCGTCCGTTGGTCCAGCTGTAGGTATCGCCGCCCCATTGAAGCGCAAGGAGGAGACATAGTACTGCGGGTGCGAAGAGGAAGAATCCAAGTAGGTCCAACTCGCGGAGTTTCTGGATGTGTGTTTTTGAGCCCCTGGGGGTGATGGTCGGGAGCTTGAGAAGGAGAAGCACGGCGGATGGTAGGGCCGCGGCAGGCAGGTTAATGTAGAAACACCATCGCCAGGATAGGTCGGATGTAAGTATGCCTCCAAGAATAGGGGCTATGGCGATGGCAGTGTATTCGCTGGCACTGATTAGGCCGACAAACGTCGGTCGTCTTCGTAGAGGCGTAGAAATTGCAATGATGCTGGATGTTTGTTAGCTTGCAGACATGCCTCTAGGTACTGTAGTGCTTACACCATGCAGCCTTGACTGATCCCAGAAAAACCCAAGCCAGTTATGGCCCTTCCAATGATAAAGATGAATGAACTCGGCGCAAGGCCCGAGAGAAGGATGCCACCCTCGAACAGCAGTAGGTTGACGAGAAAGACCCATTTGACCGGGTAGTTGTCATATAGCTTTCCCTGAGAGAGCTGCGACATGCAGGAGGTGAGTCGACTTGGACACCGTTAGCAGGGATGTACAGGGCTGATACTAATCTGTAGGATAGACTCACAAAGCAGCATCATACCAACCAACGTCAGCCACCGACCCGAACTCGTCGGTTATACGCGGAATAGCGGTGGTTAGGATCGTGGCATCCTATCATGACATTAACCAGCGAACAGAGATTTGCGAATAGTAGCACTCACCAGTCCAACCAGAAAGACACAGAAACAAAGGGACAGGGAAATGAGGACGAATTGGACCCCGTGGGGATAGATGGCCTCATCGGGCTCGGACTCGGCCTCAGGCTTAGCTTCATGATTCTGTAGGACGGTAGTGTCGCCGACTACATCTTCCGGAACTTGCTGGACCTTCTCGAAACCCTCCCTAGGGTGTGTAGCTTCTGAGAGCTCGATGGCGTCTGGGCTTATTGCCATGCCGGGCAGGGGGCAGAGGGACTGAAGAAACCGAAGCTAGAAGCATGAGCGAAATTGCAGCGGGGAGGCCGGCTACTATAAGAGAGAGATAAGAGACAACCAGGCAGAAGCTATCAGAATAGTAAATGATGGAGCGTCCTGTAAAGCCGGAATTGTGCCAATCAGGAACGAGAAGTCGATGAGGTGATTGCCCCCCGGGCTGATGCGAGCTTAATGCAGGTAAGCCATTTAGTCCGATCCTTCGCAGTCTTGGCCAACTTCCTCACCAATGCTACTCTTGTGTGGATACTATTAGATAGGTAGTCTACAGGATAACGAAAAGCCAGGTAAGAACCCAAAGAAAACGGTGGTTCATCATTCGTTCATTATACATATATCGTCAGGCCCGATACATTGGGAAGTACAGACTTCCTGCTCACTTTTGACCACACACAACGCCCGTACGCCGCGATGTGGCGTAGCTATCGAGAAAATAATATCGCACTATGTGATGCCCGCCAGCACAGTGCTTCCATCCGCATTGACAAACTGACAATCAAAAGGTGGAGGAGAAGAGAAACAATCTGGGTCCATAGCCCAGCGGCCGGGAAGTTGACCGCAGCCAGCAAAAGTAGAGGATAAGCAACCCAGGGATTGACTGCCAGAGGACTGCAGGGCTGGAAGGTGGAGACGACCTTGAGCAGGAATGCCGCCAGTTGCAACGCCACTGTAGGGATCTGGGAGTCGATGAGTGATGCAGCGCCCGGGAAGACTCTAGCCAGGGAGAAACGACCGGGAGGCGGGGGTAATAACTGTTGGACAGGCTGCGGTCGCTCCTGGGGAACCTCGCGATGTTCGGCTTGTGCGGGAGAGTGCGATTGTGCGCTGGAGAACCAAGGCCGCATCATCATGTCGTTTTCCGGGCTGAGCGGGGTGTTTCGCTCTGACATCGGGCTTGTTTCTTCTACAACCGGCCTCGATGCAGCCTCAGCACCATCCGGCTCATACAGTGGATTTCGTCGTACAGCCACTGGACTCCGTGTCAGAGACTTGTTCGGAGAGCTGGATGGCCGGAAGGTTGGAGAATCCGTACTTTCCACTGGATGAATCCTCGCGCTTGGACGTATGTCAGGGCTTGTTGGACTGGTCCTTCTTGATCGAAAACTCTCGTTAACGTTGGCACCAGCCTGTAGGCCGCTCAGAACCTCGTCTGCAGACGGCCGCCCGTCAGGGTCCAAGGACAGTAGACGTTTTAAGAATGTGTAGAGCTGCCCAGGCAAATCTGGCCTGATAAACTGCGCATCGTCAAACCCAGCCCAATGGCTGATTTCCTCACGGAGCTGATCGAGGTCCTCTTTCTCCTCATGGATCAGGTCGGCGTGCGTGTAGGGCAACTGCGCAAAACAGAGGAAGTAGAGAATCATTCCCAAAGAGAAGATATCGGACTTGAAGGTGAAGTTCCCAAATGGACCCCCTGGATAATCTCGCCGTAGAACTTCCGGAGCGCAAAAGGAAACCGTCCCGGTCGCCCCAGTAGACCTCCGCATCGAGTCTTGCGCCTGAACCTCGCCAAAGTCGCTCACAAGCACTCGAATTCCATCACTGGTCTTGTGAAGCAAACAATTGTTTGGCTTCAGATCACGATGAATGTATCCATTAGCATGGAGGTAACGCAACCCCGAGGTGATGTCCTTGAAGAAAGAGTAAATTTCCTCGAAGTTCAACTTGCGAAGGCCACCGGCTTCAGGCGGAGGCTCCGGGCCTCCTCGGGACTTTCTGCGCAGACGCTCCTTCAGCTGCTCAGTGGTTGTCGGAGTGTCAACCGAACCACAGATATAGTTATGCAGATCCCCAGCGTTACAATATTGCTGAAGGATAAATGCACAAGGCACACTGGGCCCGAACGTACTGATCTTCGCGTTCTCTAGCCACACATGTCGATATGAAACAAGATTTTGGTGTGTAAGATGCTGCAGCAATTGCACCTCTGCGAGCACTTTCTCTAGCCATTCATGATCGTCACCAACGGGAACCCGCTTGCAGGCATACTGTCCGAGCGATACACCGTCCAGCACATGCTTTACCAGCAAAACCACTCCTTTCCCTCCCTTTCCTAAAACCGTCTCTTCCACGAAAAACTTCTTGAAATAGTCCTGTGTAAAAGCGGCGGAAGAGATTCCTTGCGTAGAGTGTATGCCGCTACCCGAGTAGCTGGGCTCGCTGGTGGGACCGTCTGCAAGTGCGGGCGGCACTAGACGTCGACGGGGTGACGGAGGGCTCGATGAGCTCACAGAGCTGGGCAAGCTATTGTGAAGCATACGGAAATAGTGTGGGTTGATAAATTCCGGCTGCGTTCCGCCATGGTGGTCGTCCTGGGCTGAGCTGCTATCACGTAGGGGTCGATGGCAATACGGGCAGTCAGCGAGCTCCAGGTTGCCGTCATCACTTTCGGCTGCATGTCGAAGAACAAGTTGCTGGGAGTCTCGGTCGAAAACAACGACAGAGTCGTTATGGCGGCTTGTCAAGAAGCATTGTCAGTATTATCTTCATAGTGGGCAAGTGTCTGGTGGGGAAGCCAGGCTCGGGGTGAGGGGAAGCTTGGAGCGGAAGCTTACAGTACGACGTCAAGATTGCCTGACCCGTAGGGAACAATGGACATGCCTTCGTCCGCCATTATAGCAGGCAGAGCAGCCCATGCTTAAAGGACGCAGAGAAATACAAGGCCGCAAAGCCATGAAAAAGGGGCCGATCTTAAGCAGTTGCTGGCATGTTCTGGCCGCTGCTGCGGAGACCGGATGACGAGAGTGAGGCTGGGCGCACGTGAGCGGCCCTGGCGGTGAAGCTGGAAAGTCGCCGCGTCGCGTCCAGAAATGCTTTTTACTCGTATATTCAACTACAATGTACGCGGATTACTATAAATGCATGAACATGGATGATTAGACGATCTCTCTCTTGATTTGATGCTATGCTTCTCAGCACTATGCGGGTATCTAAAAGTAAAAGCAGTGGGGCCGAGGGATAGCTGGCTCGGATCCCGGTCTTTCCTGCATGGGTTGACATGTACTGGCAGGCAAGCTGTCCAGGTGGCATGTCAGCAAGGCCGTGTGAAACCAGGCCTGAACTGGATATGCTCGGTGGCGTTCCGACCTCCGATCGATCTGCATCGTCAAGGATGCCAGTGGGCCATACAGCTTTTTGTCAGCGGCCCGATGATCGGTCGGGCATGGCGTGACTGTCGGTTCCGCTCCAGTTGAAAGGGCGACGACATGGGCCCAAGGTCAATGGGTTAGTGACGGGCGGATCGGCGATCCGCGAGGTGTTGAAAGTAATTCAGAGTAGATCTCCTGTTTAATCTTCCTCTGCTCCGCTCTCCTCGTCGCTAACCTCGAGATTGGCGATCGAGTCGTTATCATCATCTTCCTCATCAAAGCCCTCGAACTCATCTCCCGAGCCAGACTCTTGCTTCTCAGCCGCTTCTGTGGTATCAGCAGCCTCAGGAGCTGTCTCATCAAGCTTCCGCTTGCGGCTCATTTCACCGAGGCGACCTTCACGACCTTCGATCTTCTCGCCCTCCTCGCCAGAGTTGTGAGGGGGAGCAGTGAACCAAGGGATCTTTCCACGGAGGAAATCGTTGATGACCATCTTGGCAACACCGTCGAGATCAGGCTCTCCACCACGGAGGAGGCGACCACCCTTGCGGGCGAGGAGACTGAGGAACTCGATGGGGTCGTCAGTGCGCTTGATACCGTAGGTACGCTCCAAATGCTTGGGCTGAACACGCTTGAGAATAGCTGGAATGTACTGCTCAGGGTTCTCTACGTTCTCCACACGGACGACACCACGGAGAAGAATATCCTCAGGAGAGTCATTCGGGTTTGGAGGAACAACACCAGGGCAATCGATGAGGTAGATCCTCTTCATCAAGGTAACGTACTGCCACACCTTGGTTTCACCCGGAATAGGAGCCACAGTGCACACCTTCTTCTTGCGCAAGGTGTTGATGACGGAAGACTTTCCAGTGTTGGGGTATCCAATGAATCCCACGGAGATCTGCTTCCGGTCCGAGTGCAAAGAAGAAAATTGTCTCAGTAGCTGGATCAACGAGCCCTTTCCGAAGGAGTTGTTGATAGAAGCATGGAAAGCCAAGGTAGGATAATCCTTAGAAAGGTGGCGAACCCAAGCAGCCTGGTGTCACGTTAGCAGCTGAACACCAGCGTTGCTATCAGAGTATAGCATAGTAAAAGAAGAAATCAAATAAAGAAGAAAAGAAACAAAAGTATGATGACAGGATGTGTGAAATGTTACTAAGAGACCTGCTATGATGCCACTTCAAGAGCGGAAGCAGGACTCAACTCAAAAACAGAACACAGCTCGGTCCTTAACGATCGGCTTTCAAAACGAAAACCAATCAGCCTAGCTTCAGAAAGAAGGTCGGCGCGGACCAGCGTCAATCTGCCAAAGCTGTAACAGACAGTCTCCCATAGCGAATAGCGCGACATGAAGTCGCAGGAGGCGCCTTGACTTAGCGATGGCAACGGCGAAGGGCCGTATTGTAGATCAAAGGAAAAGGGGAAATTGCAATGAGAGAAAGAAAGCGAAGATAGACTTACCGCCACACCTGTAGGTACGAGATCGCACTTGTTCAGGACGAAAATCAAGTGCTTGTGAGGAGCCTCCTCTCGGATGTACTTCTCAATACTCTTGCACCGTGTACCTTCCGGATCACGAGCATCAAGGAGATGGATGACAACATCGGAGGAATCGATGACCTTGTAGAGCTCGTTCCAGATACGCTTACTCTGTCCCTTAAGGAAGACAGCCTCCTTCGCGATGGGTGCGACACTAGAGTCTTCCTCTACTGCGACATCATCACCGTTCACCACCATAGTACCATCTTCATAAGTAGCATGGTCCGACTTCTCAACAAAGGCGTCGTGCATCTTGGCGGTCTCACCAGCCAGATCCGTAAGCGACGAGACACCCAACTTGACACGTTTCCTCTGAGCCTTGGGCCCGAAGGTGTCACTGAAGGGGTTGGTCTCGATGGCCATCTTGGCCTGGTGCTGCTTCAGTCCATTCACACCCTTGTCATCTCTGATCAGGCTCATGGGAAGCTTGTTGGTCTTGAGCAAGACGGAATACGGATCAGAGGCACGCTCAGCGACCGCCTCACGGAAAGAGGACAGAGCCTCTTGCGAGATCACTCTGGTGTTTCCAAACCATTTACGGTTGGGTTCAATCCTAGCGACGGGGGCATCTCGAGACTGGTACGAAGCAGCCTTGGTGATCTTTCCTTCAGCGTTACGTTGGGGTTTACCATCCTTGAGCATATTCAAGGTCCTCAACTTCTTCGCATCTCTTTCAGAAATCAGTACACATATCCAGGACCATCTGTCGTAAGGAGAATACTAACCTGTAAAAGTTTTCACCCTTTACCCGGACGTTCCCCATGCCATCTCCAGTCTTCCCCTGCCGCTCTTTACGAGTGGCTTCCTTCTTGAAGGTACCCATTGTGCAAGTAAGCGCTCAAGGCACCTCGAAGAAGAATAATATGAAAAAATATCAAAGATAAAGTGTCACAAAAAAGAAATGGCGGAGCGCAAAGAGGGAAGAGAAAGAAAGGAAAAAAGTTTCGAAGCGCGGGAAATTATTTTTTTCCTCCAAAGGCGGGCGCCAAGCTAAGCGGTGCACGGACCAGGCTCAAGAAAATCGCTTCGTCCTCGTTCGACTCCCGCAATAGCACCGCGCAGGCCATCAGCCATCTTACCCTCCTGTGCTGGTCCTCGATCCGAAGTAGACCGGCTACCTGGTCTCTATCAATTCTTTTTCTTCCATCCACTAGTCACCACTTCTGCTCCGTCACTCTCCTTGAGCAAACAGACACTGTTTACCATGTCTCTCTTCCGCAATTGCAGGGCTGCCACCGTGCAGTTCCGCGGCTTCACCTCATCCTCCTGCCTGCGGGTCGGCCCCGAGTCTCCCAACTTCGTCGACATTCCTCAACCCATTCAGCCCGATCTTCCTTCGAAGCCCCGCGTCAAGGGTACCCTGCCCGTCCCCCGAGAACTCTTCCCGGCCCGCCGCAAGGACAAGCCGACAGAGGCATACATCAATGCCGCGACGCCTCTTCCGACCAAGGAGACCAACTTGGACCCCAATGACCCCAACACCGAATACATTGAGTGGAAGAAGCGCATGGCGGAGATGAGACGCAAGAACCTCCGCGAAGGTCTCCTGGAACTACACACCCGGAAGCAGCGGACGGACAAGGCCATGATGCAGCGGAGTTTGGAGAAGCAGAAGCGTCGGGACCGTATCCTCCGCCAGCCTGAGAGAGAAGACCAGCGGTTGACCCGTAACTCCGTCATTCAGGACATGCTACCCAAACATACCGCTGTGCTGCCGGATCCTGACCGCGAGACCCGCCTGGCTGAGTCCAAGGCCCGCCTCGAGTACCAGCAGGCTGTGAAGGAGGCCGAGCGTCAAGACAACCTGCAAGAGCTGTACATGAATGCTCGGAACTTCATTACCACAGAGGCTCAGCTTCTGGCCGAGATTGAGCGGGTCTTCCCCGAGGGTGAGAACGAGGCCTGGCGCAGTGACCACCAGGAGGGCGAGAACATCTGGAACTTGGGTGTGCCCCCTACTGTCCAGGGTATTGTCAACGAGACCAGGAAGAGCGAGACCGCTCGCTGGGACGTTATCCAGAACAGAGTCAAGCAGCTGGGAGAGCAGATCACTGGTGGCAAGTTGTGAGCCCATGTATTTATTTAGACGGTTGTACATTACACTATTTTCTTTTTCCTAGTTCGGTTTTATTTATTCTCTTTTGTCATGCAATTTATTGGTTTGTACTAGCTTTACCTGTTTGTATACCTATTGTACCTGAACGAATTGAACAATCTCAGTCATAGCTTTTCCGAGTGCTCAAAACCTGTCACAAAACGCCATCGCTATGCAACACAAATGCCTAAACGCCGCAACCAATATTATAACGACCCAAATCCAGAAGCTCTATCAGCAGAGGGAATCAGAAATCATAACCATAGGTTAGGAGCTGGCTTCTGGAGCGCCTGCACTTGAGACAGCCGCCAGGGCAGCACCTTCAGTAGCCACAGGTCTGGGAATACCCATCGTACTTGTAACCTCTCGCTTGGACACTTCCTCATCGATGAAGCACCCAAGGCCTGCAAAGGCCTCCATCAGAGTACGCGAGTAGTATTCTTGAAGGTCGTATCCACCGGCCTGCATACGAGTGTCCTGGCGAATAGGGTCGAGGTAGCTGTTCGGGTAATGGTCGCGCAGAGTATAATAGTCCCTCTTGTTGGGAATGAGGCCACCAAAAGGATCGTAAGGCTTTTCAGGCTCGGGCGTCTTGATCTTCTTGAGACCCTTGATCAGACCAGAATCACCACTTTCATCTGCCCTGTCCGCCGTGGTGAGGGCACCCTGGCCGGCCTTCCTGGCATCGGAATTACGCAAAGCAGCTTGCTTTTGTCGGATGCGGTCTTCTTCACTACGACGAGCAGAAGATTTCTTGAGCAACACCTTGTGGCCTTCGCGGGCGATAGCCGCTGCGTCGCCAGGTCGACCTGCCGCAAGACGACTGAGGACATCTTCTCGACCGGCAAGCATTTCCTTCCGCTCATTCTCATATTCCAGTCTAGCTGCCTCTCGCCGAAGACGTGCCAGTTCTTGTTCGTGTGTCTGTTGCTCTCGGAAGGACGAGGCCTCTTGTGCTTCGAGGGCTTGGTTCGCGCGAATCGAGCGCATGTTGTCTGCAGCATATCTTTGCAGATCGCTTTCCGTCTTCGCCACATCTGTGCCATGGACAAGATTCGCTATTATCTCTTCGCGTTGTTCTAGGAAGTCATCGTAGGCTCGTTTCGAATCAAACTCTTCTTCGCGGCGGTTGAGACTAGAGAAGGATTAGTGAGACCATTTCTGGGCCTAGTGGTTTTGCTCGTGACGTACATCTGCATCACTCTGCGCCGAATGTCCACCTCCCTTTCCACATTGATATCCTCGAATGTCTGCTTGCGAAACCGGTTCTTGCGCAAGGTCTTGTGACAGCCCGCCACAGGACAGTTCGCGGGGCCTGAGGAGAAGATCCGGTCCACGCAGGACTCGCACATCTTGTGGTAGCATTCGGGATTGATGAGAAATCGCATGTCTGGGTTCAGATACCGCGAGGATTTGCAGACAGGGCACACCTCTGCTGACAGTCAGTGTATATTCAAAAGGGTCATGAGAAGTAGACTTACCGTCGTCATCCCCCCGGTGAGCCATGATATCACGAGCAGGAGGCATTTTGAGGGTCACTGCAGCTCAAAGAGGCTCTGGACAGCACAGTACGTGAGGCACGCGACAGGTTGGGAGGAAGAACGATTGACGGTGATTCCTCAGTGGCATGGAAGGTTGATAATCCAGCTGCGTGCACGGGCCAATCATGTTCTGTTCTCCGCTCTTGTTCCGCGGCGGAACTTTTTCTTTGCCGCCGCCTTCCTTCTCTTTCTATTCGGACATCCCCCCTCCCAGTGCACTTCCACACTCTACGAAACGGCAGCTTTCCCCGGCTAGTTCTCAGCATACTCTACAATGGGTGTTCCAAACAACAGCCTGCATGAGCTGGAACGCCAGCGCCTCGAACTCGAGGGGAACATCTCGAAGCTACAAGATTCCCTCTACCACTGGAGGACGTGGGAGGCCGAATACGATGGCCTCAAAGACGAGATAAACGAGCTGGACGACGATGCGACAATGGATGATTACCTCCGAGTAGGACGCGACTTTGGTGGCTCCCTGGTCAATGAAGAGGAGGTCAAAGTGATTTTGGGAGAGAAACAAGGCGTGACGCGAACCAAGCAACAGGCGGTTGATCTGGTAACGAGGCGAATCGACTACGTGAAGCAAAATGCGTCGACTATAGAGAAACGGCTACGTGCGGCAGAGGATCAACTGTACGCGCTCGACTCCCAAGATCGGTTACCGGTGGAACCTACGGCGGACTTTCCTATGACTGAGATTTTCGAAGAACTCGATGAAAACGGCGAGATTATTTCAAGCAAGACAACCACACCCGGCAGCGAGGCCACCGATCTTTTGGAGGTTTTGAAGAAGGCTGGTGTGAAGGATATACCTGATGTAGCTAAGGCCGATACGCCAGTATCGAGTTCTTCTCAGCAAGTCACTCAGAGTACGGAGGAGGCGTCTTCCGCAGACAGTCTTGGTAAAGACGATACATCCGCCAGCGAGGAGCCCTCCGTCAAATATGTGGCAAGCGATGCTAAGGAGACAAGCTCTGCGTTAGACCCGACTGTCGAAATTCATGGCGAGCGTCCTGTTATGGAAGTCGACGAGTCTCCGGAGGATGCCAAATTACGCCGTGAGATGCTCCAGTATAGTCTGAACGAAGTCGGTTCTGTCGTGGCAGAGCTTGAGTTGGACGAAGACGCAAGTGATATTTCTGTTGATGAAGACTATGATGCTTATGATTATGACGATGACGAAGATGAAGAGGAGGACGAATACGGAAGGAGCACTAGGCGTGTTTTGAGCGAAGACTATCACCGTCAGATGCGCGAGCTGGAGGAAAAGCTCAATGCTCGGGGAATGTGGAATGCCGGAAAAGACACGCAAACGCTTCCGAACGAGATCAAGCAGGACCTAGATCAGCCCAGTGTTGTTCGTGTCGAGAATAAGGGAGACACGAGTAGCGAGCCGGTCAAGGAGAAGAAACCGAAGAAGAAGGTTGCTTTTGCTGACGAACTCGACATCGCTCCGGCTTCCAAGCCTCCAGCTGTGGAGAAGAAGGTCGCTCCGGTCCGAGAGTCTAACGTGCCTGTTCTTCAGGATGCTGTTGTTGAACGCACAGAACCTGCTCGGAAAGAATCTGTGCAGAGTGACGCCCCGAAGAAAGTATCCCGGTTCAAGAGTGCCCGGAAAACCAACAACGCGACTGAAGACGCCACTGCGTCAACAACCCAACCTAGCAACACTTCTCGACTTGCCGAACCTCGCTCGGCTCTACGCAAGACTGAGACATCTACCACTGGGCCAGCTCTACCTCTGTTCCCTGCTAAACCAGCGGAACCCAAGCCCTTCTCCCAGCCTATCTCCGACATCGTGGAGCAAGAAGACCCTACACCCAGGGGCCCCGAAGGGAAGATTCTTGCCGATACCCTCGTTGAACGGGAGACCCCAGCAGGTCCAGCAGTAGCACCAGAGCCCGATGAGCTCGACGAGCAGCTGCATAAGAAGGAGATCGCAACAGAGTTCTACAAGATCCGGAACCGCATGATCCAGCAAAATGGCGGCTTCGTAGGCGAGGAGCCGGAAATTGTGCCAATTGAGACTGAGGATGCGCCCAGACGGGTGAGCAGATTCAAGGCTGCCCGCATGAGGTAAGACTCAGATAGAACGAAACCCAAACAGATACCCAATATATACCGATGCACAGATGCATGATACTGCGACATTTTCATTCTACCATTGTGCCGTAGAAAGGACCGAAACCAAGGTAGTCTCTACCTTGGCATGAATATACCACTTTCCCATGGTATAGTCATTCAAAGTTCGAAGTCCAAGAATGAAGAATAGGGCTCTCTGACTGTGCTTCCGTTACTGGGTGTATTGGGCTCAATTGAGTACTTACGGCCAGTTACAGATGGAGACATGGTTACGTTTCACCCTCGACATACTACACATATATACCATGAACCTTCTCAAACTCTCTGTAGGAGTGGCTGTGGCAATAGTCTAGGTCTAATGTGAACCATGTACCTGGATAGCTATAAGATTTCTGCCTTATGTCCAGTTTCCATGGGATGGGGTATAAATAAGCGCTTCTTCTCCGCAGTTAAGCATCTATCAATGATACCCAGATACTACCTGATATCCAAGTCAACAAGCACGGAGCCTGCCAGCCACAAGTGTGAACCGGTGGTTCATCTATGTGACTCTTACTAGCAACGTCCATCCATCCATCTGTTTCAGCATGTGAACAATGAATTGAGCTTTTCCCTTCCCCTCATGATTCCCTTCTCCCCGCTTGGTAAAAGACGCAGTAGAGTTTCATAGCATCATAATGATGTTTACATCATAAACAAATCATTGATGGTTGGGTTGCTTTAGTTCAATAGTTATCGGGGCAGACCGCACGAAGATCCTAGGGATTTGAGTGATCAGCATCCATTACTTGATGAAGTAGTTAAATATTTATTTATTTATTTACGTCAGATACACCCTGGCTAGCTGGCTGGCTGGCCCACAAATGGGAAACTGCTCTATTACTTTGTGATTTCAGAGTCGATCTGGGCTGCCTGATCGATCGCCGGTTGCTTAGGGACTCGATGAGGTCAAGACTGGGCAGCTGGACTTTAAAATGAAGATCGACATGGAAATGATGTGCTGTACTTGATTCTGACAGCTCTAGTTCAACTCAGCCAGCTTGGATCGTGTGAGACACTGGTGGACGTGCGCATTACATTATTGTTAGTCAAGGGAATCACTAATTGATTGTTAACTGGTTTAACTGATGCTATGTTGGGGTTGTTTGTTGTCCAACCCCGGCATGTCCGACGAAATCAAAATTTTGCGAGTCCTGCAGGCATCCATCTGTGTCTTGTCATCTGGATCGTTTACAGAATGCTTTGCATAAGCATTATTCCGTCCGTCCGTCCGTCGGACCGATCCTTGACTGAATGAAGGGTAGAGAGAGGTGGGAAAAAAACTGCGGAAAATTCAGATTGTGGATGAGCCCATTGTTCGGAGCATTGTGCTGCTGGTTTACTGTAAAGGTCTGGAATCGAACAGGTCGAGGGATAACCCACTTGTTTGCCCATCCTGGACACATGGATGGTGGGCCAGCACATAACTCACTTAACAGAGTAGAGAGGGATCAGAGTTTAGGTGGATTCCAGCCAACTGTCTAGACCTTGATTGACCGTTGTAAGGTGAGGGTGTACGTAAGCTTCTACAGAGTGCAGTGCGGGGATTTGGTCTGCAAAGTGCCCCGTTCTCAACGGCTTTGCTTTTGATGAGATTGGAATTTTGAGGATCGTGAATAGGGTGAGAGAGTGTGAAAATGTGATAGGGATTCCCCGGAGGCCCAATGGGACTGCTTTGACTGAGAAGTCGTGTTTCAGGATGGACTGGTTATATGGTTCGAACCAGAGTTCGATGTTCAAGAGATTGAGAAATGCTGAGGTGGGGAGATAAGCATGGAGCCAGGATGGGGCGGGTTTACTTACGACGCACTGCAGAAGCGCGACGGAGAATCTAATCGTGTTCCGGAGATGTAATGGAGAATAATAATATAGAAAAGTAATATTAAAAATGGCTAAAAGAGTATAGATTGAAATCGATCGCGCAGCCATCCAGATGCCGGCGAAGCTTATAGGGCACTGGCGGCCAACAGGGCTGCGTTGCCCACCTGTCAGATGGACGCCAATGACACGAGGCTGGTCAGGCCGGAATCCTGGGATTGTGTTGCCGTTGACCGGGTTGTTTCTATATATGTACGGCTCATAGTATATCTGTTTGTGTATCGTTTGTTGACACAATTGATCATTATCGTTTGGGTAAACACTTAGGCAACCATGGCTGCTACCATTGTCCCATGGAGGCAGATTGGTTACGGTCAGGGTTGCCTAGAACCGGTCTTTGGTTCATATTCAGTTTCTTTTTCCGCTCTGCGTTCTCGGGAGGGAAAGGCAGCGAGCCAGGCATAGGGTCAGTAAGAATACCCCATGACGTGGCGCAGTGGCTCGGGTGGTGTATTGCCGGCAGACGAGAGAAGGAATAGGACAATGGATCCTGGAAGCCTCATGGAAGCTGGATGGAGGAAGAGGCTGGCGTCATCCCCCACCCGCGGAACACGGATTTACTTTTGATCCGGGTGGACTGGGTTCTGCCGGGTTTCTCCGACCTTCCCAAAGAGTAGAATGATAGTCCCTCATCTCCATTTTAATGACTATTCTCATCGAATAATCAACTCATCAATAATCCACCATGCCAAGGATTATTCCATCATGACATGCAGTCGCTTGCTGTACTGCTGCTACGCGGGCTATGCTGCTTCCCAAGCGGGATCCAAAAGCTGTTCACCGAAGTCCTAAGCAACACATCCAAGGCAAGAGTCAACGTCAACTGTATCCCCCTACTCCGCACTGCATGTCGTATATGCTTCGAGTCCAAACCCTTCTGAGCATAATGCAAGGCACCCTTCCCCGGTTAATCCCAGGATTTCCATCCTTCCCTGTTGTTAGGCCGTGATGGTGGCTATAGCTCCCCCTCCACATCCCTCCGGACTTACGCGGACTATGCTTGATACTTGCACTCAGTATTGATTGCTTATGTCGAGCATAGAGCATTGTCGCTTACCTTGCGTTCCCGGTTTTCCGCTGTGAGCGATTATGAATAGAAGCAGGCCCGTGGGTGTCCTACCCATGTTCCTTGTATGGATAACAACAATACTCGCTATGTATGGCTGAATGGCGTGTTGTACCGTGGGTGGCATTGCCATCTCGCCACCGGACTCGCAATAACCCGCCTGAGTCCATGAGTCCGGAAGGTCTTGACCAGGGCAGGGTTCCCGGCCGATCCAAAGGCTGCTCGATGGGGCTGGGTCCACAGTTGGCTTGTGCCCTGCATCGCCCGAGCCACTGATACCGCTTCTATCTCATAGCCAACTTCCAGATCGGGTGTTTTTCATAGAATTCCCCCCTCCACAAGGCCCAATGCTCATGACGTCTGCTTTCATTGCTCTTTCAATCCCGAAGCTTCCAGGCCCGGCGTTGTCGGACAACTTGCAGCTTGTTTATTCGCTGTCCGGTGGTGCCTAGCGGGATCAACGGTGGCCCTCCATGTTTCTTTTCCATGGTCAACCGCCAGTCCAGCAGAAGCATTGCAACTGGCTGAATGTCTGTTTCTATTTTTTCGAACTGCTGTGCTGTGGAGGTGTGCGTGTTGACTCTGTCCGGTTTACCACCGGCAATTGCCCATGACGTGCCCTTTATGTACCCACTATAGTTTATAAATATTGAGCGTACCCTGGGTTTTTCGGCTTGCTTGTTAGTTTACCCCGGCCAATAACTCTTCCAAAAACAATCTTTATTCTTACATCGCCCCCAATCCGTTCGCTTGCTTTCTAGCTGTCGTCTACTTTCGCTTTTGCAAGTATGAAGAACGTTGCGACCCTTGCAGCCTTCGCTGCTGGGGCTAATGCCCTTGTTGGCCGGAGCGACTCTTGCTGCTTCCACCTGACAGCTTCTGGTGATGCTTCTGGCACCATTGGCCAGCTGGGTGATGGTCAGAACCGCATCGGTGGTGGACTTCCCGCAACCCAGTTCTGCATTGACTCCAACGGTGGCATCACTGATAGCAGCGGACGCGGTTGTGTTGTGACTAGTAAGCTATCCACATATGAATTATACCGGATATGTTACTAACCACTCATCCCTGACAGGCGATACCACGCAGTTCCAGTGTGACTTGGGTAAATCTCCTATGTCGGGTTTCTCCATCACCTCCTCTGGTGAGCTGGAGTACAACGGTGACGCCGATTTTGTTGCCTGCCAAACTGGCGACAACAATGAACTGAACCTTTACACCACTGAGAACTCCTCCGTCACTGGCTGCGAGAACATCAAGTTGACGGCTGATTCCTGCTCGGGCTCGGGTGCTGGCTCTGTTGGCTCCAGCTCTGGTCCGGCTTCGACCCCCGCCCCTCAGTCCAGCCAGCCGGCTCCGGCTCCGTCTTCCAGCGCTCCAGGTGTCCCTGGCGCTGGTGCGTCGACTAGCTGGGTACCTGGTGGTCCTGCCTCCAGTGCTTCCGTGCCCTACGGCCCTGGTCCCCAGTCGAGCGGCGCCGTGCAGGTGACGACCGTCTATGTGACCGAAACCTACTGTGGCGCTGAGTCTACTCCTGTGGTTTCTGTTCCTGGAGAGACCACTGTCCCGCTGGTCCCCGTTGGACCTGGGTCTTCTGCTCCCGCTGGTTCCCAGCCGGCGCCCTCCGGATCCCCTGCTCCTCAGCCATCCGAGACTCCATCCTACCCTCAATCGTCCGAGAGCCCTGCTCCTCAGCCTTCGGAGACTCCTTCATACCCCCAGTCCTCGGAGACCCCGGCCCCCCAGCCTTCTGAGACTCCTGCTCCTCAGCCCTCCGGATCTCCGGCTCCTCAGCCTTCTGAGAGCTCTTACCCTGAGACCTCCGGCACTCCTGCTCCTCAGCCTTCTGAGAGCTCTTACCCTGAGACCTCCGGCACTCCTGCTCCTCAGCCTTCCTCCTACCCCCAGACCTCTGGAACTCCTGCTCCCCAGCCGTCTGGCACTCCCTCTTACCCCCAGACCTCCGCGTCTCCCAGCAGCGCCCAGCCTTCTGGCACTGCCACTCAGTCTTCCTCTGCCAGCTGCCCCACTGATCTTTCTGGCGACTATGAGTACCCTCACCTGATCGTCCCGATCAACTCTTCCACTCCCGACACCGCCTATGGTACTCAGTACTTCGGCACCGTCTCCTCCACCGTCTCGACCATCTTCAACTTCGACATCCCCTCTTCGGACTCTGGAAAGACCTGCAGTCTGATCTTCCTGTTCCCTACCAAGGATCAGCTCGAGACCTCCGACTACACTTTCAGCGGAGACGGCAAGGTTGACTTCTCCCAGCTCGAGTCTGCTGCTAGCGAGTCGACGACCTACAACAACGCTCCTGGAGTCAAGCAGGACTACGGCGACTTCACCCTCTCGCCTGGCAACTCTTACCTGATCTCCACTTTCTCTTGCCCGGCTGGTCAGACTGTCAGCTACGAGATGAAGGAGGCTGGTAGCACCTACCTCAACTTCTTTGAGGACTACAACCCCTCTCCGTAAGTGTATTCTATGGCATCTTCTGTGAACTACTGCTAACTGAAAATCTAGTCTCGGTCTGTACATCACGGTCTGCTAAGCTCGTCAGACATAGCGATCGCATCCGGCAACGCGAACATGATTAATGGACCCGTTATGTTCTCTATTTATTGATTTTTTATTCCCTTTAGTTCAAGACATGACCATTCCTTCTTTTGACACTTAACCGGGCGCCGGATACGGTCTCTGACCGGAGAAAATATGGATATTGGAAATACAAAATTGGTTATATCAACGATAATCTATTGTCAGCTAGTAGCGGTGTATTATAAGCTATAGCTCTCGGGTCTGGTCTAATTACATTAATCAAGTATGCCTATCAGACATTTGATACGAATCCGCGTAGTATTGCCTTCATTGTGTTGAAGTTCTTCATCTGGCTCAATGCATACATCTATCCAGCAAGGTCCCGGAGAATAACCATGTCAGACACAAGAAAAAGAAAAGGTCGAAGATTACGAAGCACACATGCCATCCAAACCCATTCTGAATACCAACAGTAACCCCATGATCACTTTCCATTATACATAGTATTATATAAGTTTACATCGTAGATCCCATCTATCCTTACAAAAACGTGGGCTATGCAGGGTAAGCCGTACTAAGTGGACACGGGACCCCGGCCCACATCATATTATCCATCACTCCTTAGTCTACCCACCCAGGCAGCACCGTTTTCCTTCGCTTACTGTGCACAATCCATAAAGCATTGTTAGCATAGCACAAACTTGTATGCCATAATTCTCAATCGGCCCGAATACAGGGTATACAAAGGGTCTGTGATGGGTCTGGTCCCTGTGGAAACTGATCCCTTCGCTACATCGTTATCCGTCAACACCCGGCTCGAAACATAAATCTCCACTCCACTTGGTGGATGCTATAGAGATTTTCTGCTGCTTTCAATAGGTTTATTGAGGTATCTGATTGGCGAGATATTGAAGAAATTTCCAAATTATTCTGACCGAGTAGTAGTCTTCAAGGTAATTTGTCAGGTTGAATGATTGCCCTAGAGGCATTGTACGTAATGGAGCTTCGTCATATGCTTAGATCACTGTGAAGATCATGCATAATGGTGCTTTGTACTATAATGCCTGGATTGCTGTCTGACCTGAACGTGCAGAAGCAATTCATGCAATTAATTTGATGCTCTACACTTCGTGTTAGCATTCGCGTCTTTCTTGGCTGCACGGCTGCGTCGGATCATCTGGAAAGGCATGCGCATCGGGCACACGCTGATCTGGAGATCTTCGATGGGGCGGTGCAAGGCTCTGATAGTGAAGAAGTAAGCAGTGCGTCATGTGGAATTGAATCGGTGAAATAAGTACTATGGCTTTAGCAAAAGAAAATACGTGCTGCAGGTTGAGTCTGTCATTCTGGATTATCGTTATTGATTTTTTGATTATTACATTTGGTAACCGATGCTGAATAAAGAGCAGAACCTCATATCAAAATAGCATATACCCTAAAGATGTGTAGATATCACTCAACCAAGATTACTCGGTTTCACAGGAGCAAGTGCAACCTCTTCGTCTTCATCCCGCATTCCACGTCTCCGTCTATCACGAGATAACCATGAAGCTTTCTCTCGAATCCAACGCTTGATCATGCACCAGATTGTAGTGGACTGCTGTACTTGAATCTCAGTAAGCTGAGCTTGGAGATTGCTGATTTCTTCGAGTGCCGCGTGAAGATCATTCTGGACTTGCCCTTTCATTTCACAAGCGACTGATAATTCTTTCGTAGTGATGTCCAAGTCTGCTGACACGCTGGCAAGTTGAGAGGTGATGGTTTCAATCTGTTCCTGCTTGCCATTTATCTCTTTGCGCTTGTCTTCATTGATGTTTCTGATTCTTTCATTGGCGCACCGTACATTTGACAGTTCGGCTGTGATATCGTTCAGCTGTTTCTGCTTGTCATCGGCCTCTTTGCGCATCTCCTCATTAGCATCTTTGAGACTGCTATTGTTGCCTCGCACAATTGACAACTCAGCCGTTATTTCCGTTAACTGTCTCGTCTTAAGATCGCATGCACCCTGTAAATCACTAATGGTACATGTGAGCATGCTATTATTGCCTTGCACATCGGACAATTCAGCCTTGGCTTCCTTCAGCAGCTCTTTAAGAAGTCCACAGCCCTGTTCTCTTGACATAGCCTCCACCCTCAGACGATCATTCTCTTCGCGCTGAGCCCAACAATTATCCAGAGTATTCTCAAGCCTAGTCTGCAAAGCCCGAAAATCATACAACTTCCCCGCCTCTACCAAATTCCCCGCCTCTATCAACTCCGAGTACTTGCTATCTTCCCCTGGTGAAGGAAATCCGGAAGATTCCTTAATCTCGTCTTGAAGTACCTGGTATAATGGATGCCTCGTCCCCGTCTGCTTTTTATACGGCCAGTACAAATTCTGAAGACTGGCAAGGGTGTCATGCCATCCGGACACGACCTCGTTCACCTGGCCAGAATGATAATCGCATAATCCCCGCTCAGCTATCTCTTTCAGCTCGTCGTCTGATATCTCATGTGGCAGTTTCCTAGCCAGCTGGCTTAACGATTTCCGGATAATCTGGTAGTCTGAATAAGGGATGTCCCAGCGACAGCGACTATCGTATCTGGAGCGCGCGCGACCAAGACAGAACATTCCTTGATCGTGAGGGCCTTTGGTAATTTGGAGGATGCGGTCTGGGTCCCAGAGTGTGGTGGCCATGGTGGTAGTAGCATTCACTGTGGGTTGATGTGGTTGTTGAATACTTGGATTTGTGGAATAGGGAAGCTCACATATTGTCTCGATCTCTATTTTCGAGTGCGGGGTTTGAAAAGCATAGCCCGCTGTAGCTGCATGATGCTGCGCCGCCTTTTTGGATGGATTGTAATCCTTGCTTTGTTGTGGCCAATCGACGCTTGGATGAGGGAGGAGATAGCCTTGTTGATGAGTTATCATATCGTTAGCCGCCGTCTATGCTAAAATATTACAAGTGGGAAAAAGAGCATTTGGCAACTTGACCTGCTCGTCTAAACCTCAGATAATGTGCTTGGTACAGTTGTAGAATCCTTCTAATGCGTTGGCATCTTCATGTCGAAAGATCTTCACAATGCAGTGCTAGAATGTAATCTTGATATAAGCAGAAGTTGCCTTGCAGGTGCATTATAGTACTGGCACTGTGATGACTCTCGGTTCTTCAGATTCGAAATCAGTCCATTACCCTATGAGCAGATTAATTGGTGCAGGCCATACATATGACTAGGGTAATCAGGGCTAATCAATGTAGACATTGGAACTATTCGCAAAGATGAACATGTCTTGTAAGTATAACATGTGAATAATGATATTAGTGAGATAATTGCTTGAGTTCAATTGAAGTGACGATTCCTATACATATGTGAGGAGCGAAAACCTTCTCAATTTACAAACGACAAAAAAAAGCAGAACACAAAACCACAGGCATGAATGAATGTTGAGTGATGTAGTTAGCTCCAAGCCTCCCTAACCTTCTCGGGGCAAATGCCTATAAAAATTACATCACCTGTCAACAGTCCCAAAACAACCGTATTCCCAATAACTGCTTTTGCGTCCCAATATCCCCGATATTCAGGTGGAATCCATAAGAGCCTATCTTTTCCGATGCCTATCCAATCATCAGTCACCGATATAATGTTGCCTTGGGCCTTTGGATGAATTCTGTATTCATTCATGTCGCTGTCGAAAAGCCACGAATATCCGACGTCCCTCTTCTTGGCTTCCTTAAACCATGATGGCTCGTCCTCTTCCAAGGTCTGCCGCAAGCTGCCGTCGGAAACATTCCACACTTTAACTCCGGTGCTAACAGATCCCACCGCCAACAGCTTGCCATCAGGTGAGAATTGTAATTGATCGGTAGAGCAGTCGGTAAAGATATGTTCCTCCATGCCTGTCCCCATGTTCAACAGTCTCACCGTCTTTTCAGACATATGACCGATGGCCAGGGAATTCCCAGATGGTGAGAAAGCTACTTTAGGAGCATATCTCATGGTTGAATGAATTCTCGGGAAATCCTGATCCACAGCCCACTTGCATGTGCCCGTAACTGCATCCCATAAGCACATTCTGTAACCCCAAGTAGCCAAAAATAAGCTTTCATCCGGTGAGAACAACATGCAGTTCGTGATAACAGAGCAGTTTGACGAAAATTCATGCTGCAAGGTCCCATTCGATACTTCCCATATCTTAATGAGTCCGGTGCTTGAGGACGCAGCTAAAAGGCGGCCCTTTGGGGATATACAGACCTCCAAAGCGCGTGTATCTGTGTGACATTGTAGTACGCGTCGCATTGTGCCCGTGGAAACGTCCCAGAGCCTCACCGTTCCATCCTGGGCGCTACTAGCCAGGAATGCTCCAGTTGGCGAAGGTTGTACTCTTATTACAGGCCCTGTATGTCCTTGTGAAGCATGCTGGACTCCACGACGAGTGGTATCCCAGAGAGTCACCTGATCACCAGTTGTGGAAGCCACAAGCTTGTTGTCTGGTGAGAACCTGACTAGCTCAATGACCGTTGTGTGGCTAGCAAAGGTGGATAATATGAGGCTATGGCATATGTCCCAGATGGTAAGCCCTTGCCCACAACCTATAGCCAGCGATCGCCCATCATAAGAGAATTCCACAGAACAGATCCGGCACCAATCAGCATGGCAGCGCAGGGTATGATGCAGGGATCCTTTACAGGTATCCCAAAATTCCAACATGCCACCCACTGACCCTGAGGCTAGGAGTTGTCCATCCGGTGAGAATGCTAATGAACTGATTATTTCAGGGCTCTTAAGTGCATGTCGTAATTCGGCCTTGACTGTATCCCAGAGCTCTATTCTGCCATTCAATAGGACGCAGGCCAGTAAATCACCGTCGCGCGAGAATTCGGCCCGAAGACATTCAGAGAAGGACTCCTCTTCTTCTTCATACTCCAAGCGTACAATTTCCTGTAGCTCTCCGGATATGGTGCTCCATGTTGTCAAGTTTCGGTCGAAGGATGCCGAGACCAACTGCTCATTTGATAAGAACACCATCGCAATAATACCATGTTCTCCTTTCAAGGTATGTCTCAAAGTGCCGGAAAAAGAGTCCCACAATAGTATTGTGTTGCTGTCCGGGGTTGTCCGAGCCACTAACTTTCCATCTGGTGAAAATGCGCAGTTTACGGGGTAGTAACTAGTTCTCTCAAGCGTATTTAGCAAGTCACCAGTGCTGGTTTCCCACAGCTTCAAACTATCATTCTGTGTCTGTGTGAGGAGCATCTGTCCATCAGGAGAAAACTCCAAGACACGTACATGTCCATCTCCAACCTCGAGTATTTGTAATTCAGCACCCCAGTCCTCAGGCACTCTGGGTAGTTGAGAGAAATATGGTGACACATAGTGGAAAAACGTGTTCCTGATCGTACTTTTTTCTGGCGCGAACAGCAATGTGGAGGAATACAGCTGCAGCGGAAATTCTTTGGCGATCTGCATATTCTTCAAAATGAATCGTTTTGCATCGTACAGAAATTTGAATATTCGATCTGAATGTGACGTCTGTATTTTGAACACTGTGAGTTCAGCTCGCTAATAGAGAGAAATGACGCTTACCTGTACAATCGAGAGTAACATATTCACACTGCCTATTGTTTCTGGCAAATGCCCTAAGATACTCATTGCTTCCAGCCAGTGAGGGAAGTGGGTCTCGAGAAAGTTAAGCACTTCGTCCTGATCAGAAATATTCAACGCTCCTTGGGTAAGATGATGGACCCAATATCGGATAGCGTAGCGCAGTTCTGCTGGGAAACACCTTTCAACTTGCTCCGTGGTAATATCATCTCTAGAGGTTCCATGTCTGCGCAGGTCACAGATGTCCTGTCGAAGTCCATGTTGGGGATCCATCATGACTGCAATGCACCTATGAGCCAAATCGCGATGTGTTGACTGCCCGTCCACTGAAAATTTTGTTTTCTCTTTTGTCTCTGGATGAAGTAGGAATTCACGGAAAGAAAGATGGAACATTCTGACTGGTTTGTCGTTGTCCTCTGGAATGTTCAGCACTGAATGAAGTGAGCCTAGTCTGCGGCGGATTGGGCTCTCTTCCATATTGATCAGCTTTGAAAGCGAAGCAATAGAAAGTGGACTTTCGAGAGCAACAATTGTCCCAACCACCTGTCGGAATTGCTTAACCAATTCATTCTGAGCTCGTCGATCCTGTCCTTCGAGGAGTTTGTCTAAAACAGGCAAGTAAGTCTTATCCAGATTAGAGTTGTTGTATTGACGCTTCAATATGTCGTTCAAGCTGTCGTCTGGATCCCATCGGTAGTCCCCTAATAAGCGGCAGATAGTTTCAGCGAAGATGAATAGCGGCATTGCCATGTCAATCAGAGCTTGTGTCTTGGTTTCTCCAGGCCATAGATCTTCAAGATTCTTATTCTTTCGGATTTTCGATAAACGGTCCGCAAAGAATAGAGCCATATCGTGCTTGATTGTACGACGTTCAATTTCATGGAGAACGACATCTTTGTGTTCACCTTCTATCTGCTCAAAGCCCTCAAAGATTGGGTGCTCGGGTCGGCTGGTGATGAAGACCTTCAATTGTATCGTTTTCGATTCTTGCACCCGAGGAAGAAGTCGAATGATCGTCTCAATGCTTCGCTCTTCACACTCATCCAGGGCATCGACTACAACGACGAGCGGTAGGCGCTGTCCATTGCTCAATTTCATGCTCAAAAGTGGCTTCAACAACAATTGGTCAAATTGTTCTTTCAGTGATGTGGAAACTATTAAGTCATCCTCCATGGCTGCCGCAATCTCTTTCCTCAACTGGGGAAGAGCAATCATTAATTGCTTAACGATAGTGGTGATGAATCGCGAAGCTTTCCCGCGATCACCTTCACCCCTTTTGAAAAAGAAGCTTGCTCCTAGCAGCTCTCTCTCCTGCAGCTTCCGCGCCACTGTCCGGGAAATTGTTGATTTTCCAGTTCCAGCTACACCCCTCAACCAAAATATGGTCTTTCCCTCGGGTTCATCTACCCAGTCCGTGATATCATCAAGAAGCTCAACTCGGGTATTCTTCAGGCATTCAACCTGATCCTCATCCATGTGCGAATTGAAGTGAGCACCTTCAGCTATCGGCAGCTTGTTGAGATTGATATTCTGGGCAATACCACGGATATCGTCGAGAAGTCTGTCAACTCCAATAAGTATATTATTGGCCTCCTGTTTGCGCTGCTTTTCTTGATAGATTTGTAACCACTTTCTCAGATGAGTTTCTTCCGTGTCGATCGAGGACTGAATTTCTGTCAGGGGCAGGTTTGCCAGGGCCACCACACTACGCATCAGTCTCTTTCCTGTATTTGAGCGATAGATGATCATTGCCTCTGCCGTATATTTCAGAACAGCGATATAGACCCTCAAGATGGCATCCTCAATTTTGTCATTCAACTCGGAGCTCTCGTCGCGGTAAAGCTTCTCTATAACGGCATACCGAGCTAGGATGTCAGTCAAGATGGCAGATGACTGAAACCAAGCCATTTGTTGATCACGATAATTTTGTGTCATCTACCAACACTATGTTAGACAAGTGAACTGTGATTAGACAATGATGTCAAACATACCGTCAATCCCAGGGAGACGACTGTCCAGGCACTTGACGCGTGGGCAGTGGGGTCGAATGCCACGATTGCACTGATAATATCCTTGCAGCTCAATGTGGCTGTCAAGATTTTGCTTGCAGCATCCCGAAGTCGTGAGTCCCCTCCTCTCGACATTCTTATTTCGTATTGTGCTTTGACGGTTTCAATCACATCATCTAGTGTTTTGCGTACAGGGGTTGCATCGTCATCGTGATTGTCGCCGTTCTGATCATTTTCTTTCAATGGCTTTATATTCTGGCGCTGCTTCTCATCCAACGTATTGTATGCCTCTTGCCAGAGATTGCGTCTCTCGATCTTCAGATTTCTGTGAGGCAGAGTAGCATCAGAGCTTAATACAACCTGACCATCCTGTGCAGGCAAGGCATCTGATTTAGGTTTCGGTTGAGCTACTTGCTCTAGGGTCGAAGAGGTACCAGAAAAAGCATTCGGCGGTGTTTTTGATGGATTATACGATGAGTTTGTGGTTTGTTCCCGAGGCTGTTGTTTGGAGCGCCTCTTTCGAAAGAGATTTCGTAGCTTGGGACAACCCATGGTGCGCGGGGTTCTATGCGTGTTTACTCGATTGAACAGCGCCGGTCGGGGGATGAGCAGGCATCTTTAAACCAACAAAGAATATTTGCTTTTTCTCAGCTCTCAATCTAAGGGCTGAGAGACTAGCAATTTTCCGTTTTTCCGAGTTGTTCCTAGTGCTTCATGTATGAATTGGCGCCCAACAATAGGGCGAAGTACACGTAAACCCCACAGGGATTCTAACATTTAGTACGCAGCGCTACGGAGTAGGTCGGCACAAACAACGATTGGATCTGCTAGCAGGAACGGAGCTCACCACAATCTGAACAACACCCAAAGGTGAATCATTCCGTGATCTGATGTATATACTTTCGTATGCCCATACTATCAACATGTTTTGCTGCTGCATCTCAAGAGCACTTGCAGCGAGACAAACAATTACACCCACCACCTTCAATCGGGTATGAGATACCTCAAGGCTGATGCTGATAGTATTCGCACAAGGGGTCAGGATGTCCCCTTTCATAGAGACAATAATCTGCGGTCAATATGGCTAGCAGTACTGATAGACACTCTGCCGTCGATGGAGACTACTGAGAATATCCGTTAGCCGACCAGCAATGAACGGACGATGTCAATTTTGTGAGGCTTTCCCATATCTTCGGTCCTTATGAGAATCACCTCCGTGCGGCATTATATATTTCAGCACCATAGGACACACCGTGACGAAGACGTGAACCCAACGGAGCTTAACAGCAAGATTGCTCCGTTCCAGTCAATTATGCAGGCTTGGACTCGATCTAGACAAGAAGTATGTCCCATCTATGTTGTGAGGATGAATGTTATCAATGTTCCCATCCATCAGTAGCAGGCGGGATATTGGAACAATGGATGGATGAGAATGGACAACTGAGCTTTCACGCTTACTGTTTACATTGTGACCCTGTGCAGGCAGTACCTGCTTATGCGTGTTGCTCCATTATAAACAAAGGCAGTCCATGAACCAAGGGTTAGCAGCAGTATGCTTTTGTAGCTGGAAATTGGTGTATTGTTGACTGTAAGAAAGAGAGGGAAGGTGGTGAACCAGTTTGCTAACTCGGCAATAGGGTTTAGAAGCCCAGATGAAGTGTCATTCTTCATATTGATTTGATGATATGTTCTCCATGATGACCTGCGAAGAAGTATCTCTAATATCAGTCATAATAAAGCCCGGTTTAGTCCAGGTGTTGGGTACACCTTAACTCTGATTGAATCCAGTCCTTCAGGTAGGTATAACGGCAGTAAATTGATGGCTTGCTCCTATTCTAGTACCTCGTCTTCAGATCACCTAAGTCCACAAATTTCGTTATACATACTCCATTGCACACTCTTCGCCATAGCTCTCATGAAGCCATTCTTGATCACCGGTGCCAACGGAGGTTTAGGGTATGCCACAGCCAAACAGCTTGCCATCACCAGCAAATACCGTCTTCTCATTGGCTCTCGGACGCAAGAGAAAGCCGAGGAAGCTAAGTAGTATTAATAAACTAAGCAGTTCCTCCGATGGGCTGACACCAGTGGCACTAGACCTTGACAGCGACGTATCCAAAGGCTGCCGCTATCTATATCCGGGAACAGTTCGGTTCACTCGACATTCTTGTCTATAACGGCGGCATCGATCGATCATCTGATCCCAACGCCACGCTGCGTGATACCTACCGCGCAGTGTTCGAGACCAACATCTTCGGGGTGGTTGTTGTAACAGATGCCTTTCTTCCTCTTCTTCGTGCTTCCAAGTATTCTGATCGGCGCATCAGCGACGTGACCAGCGGCCTCGGGCAGATTGGGATAGCCTACTCGCCTACCTCGGAGTATAATGCTAAGATCTGGGAGCTGCCAGCCTACTGAAGCAGTAAAACCGCCCTTAACATGATCAATGCGGTGGATGCGGTGCGCCTGCAGAAGGAGAATATTCTCTCAATCGTAATTTGCCCGGGTCACTGTCGAACGGACTTTGGGGGAGGCCGCCGTGCCAAGTTTGCTGGGGGAGGGGGCACAGCCGATTGCCCGCACGGCAACAGAGGGGTCTCCAGAAGAACTGTCTGGGATGGTTGTGGAGGATGAAGGGTATTTTGTGGAGTTCGGGTGGTAGACGCCGCAGTGAGAGTAATTCTTGTCATTTGTAGTGTAGTGTAACAATTTCCAAAGCTAGTATACACTCAACATTCATTCTATAGAAAGATAAATTGACAGTTATAGTATTACTCTGCTAGATTGGCCGTAGTAACATGTTCTTGTAGTAGTAGTTGACAGTTAGTAACAGTTGAATAGGAGATCTTGTAGAAATGAACTATACTAGTCATGGTATCGTCGGTGAATTTATATTTTGAAGCAGTCACAACAGGCCGCATTTAACAAAATCAAATAGTATCAGTGACCAATGTACTCCGTAGTACTCCGCAGTACTAATTTCAATCGAGGTCTAACCTAAGAGGGCTAATACTAATATAATATCAGCGTAGATCACTCAACTTTCCCATTCTGGTGTGCTATAGCCCGCAAAGACTAAAAGTTGGCGATTCAATGGCGATAGGATCGACATCCATACATTACATAAGCATACGATGTGAAAATGACAGAAAGAGCGTTACAGGCTGTCCAAGGGCCCCACCCCTGATATTGTTGTATCATAACAGCGGCCATACCGAGCCAAAGTTAACCGCCCGATTGTCGATCAAGCAGGGTCTGTTCACTTAACACGGTCCATCATCTGTCAATGACACTCCGTGCCTAATTGCATTCCCGGCCCAGCTACTCGGTAGTCAATGACATTTTGCATCTATGATGGTATCTACCGCTATCATGCCTTCCCTTCAGGCTTTGCTATACGACAAACAAGGGTAAATGGCCCATACCGGGGTCTTCCATGGAGACGAGGCAGCCAGCGGTTGACCGAGCCGTGGTCGAGCCGATGTACTCTGGGCGAGTGGGTCGGCGAAAGAGCTGCAGGCAACGAGTATTCAGACTTCCCCCATATTTAGTCGCCCACAGCCCCATGCTTTGTCTCTGTCTCATTCTCATTGGCAGGTCACAAATCAGGGACTCAGCCTTCTCCGAATTCTTTTATTGCTGGCCTTTCGCCGCTGGGCAGATAGATCTCAGTTGACACTTCAGCTGTCGACAGACTCCCTCACGTGCTCCCAATCTCACGCGCACACCGGTCGCATTAGGCTGCTCTTTCCAAAGGAAAATAAATGCACTGAACATTGGCCAGATTTTATATATCCGAGCTGTGAACAAGGAGAATTGAGCCCCTCACTTATTGCATTGTGTCTTAAACCAAGTGGATCCTCATCCAATGGACCGTCTACCCGAAAAGCTGCCTTTCTCTAAGCGGCGCCTGAAGCAGCGAGTCATCTTATCGTGAGGATTCAATTCTAAGGGGAGGAAACTGCTCCTCATCGCTAACATGTGTCACTCATGGCAGATATATCTTTGACTATGTTATCCTAATGTTAGTTCTACCTGTTGGCGGATCATCGGTGGCATTTGCTAATAATTGCTGCAATAGTGCGTGCATTGGAGGCTTCTATGTCCTTGATTCCATTGAACCATATCATCAGCACTTCTCGTTACGAAATATCTCAATTCAGTACCCATATGCAGTCCATGAGCGGATAACCATACAGGAAGCCCTCTGTATCTCCGGCCTGGCACCCCTCGTCATCATTATCGTCTATACGCTATTTATCGACGGGCTTTTCTCGCATCACAAGACGCAGCATCCAGTCTCGGGGAAGCGCAAATTCACTGGTCCATATAGGTGGAAAGATCGGCTCTGGGAGCTCAACTGTGGTATCCTAGGGCTCTTGCTCTCACAAGGGCTGGCCTTTGTCATCACGCAGGTGTTGAAAAATGCTTGTGGAAAGCCTAGGCCTGACTTCATTGATCGGTGCCAGCCCCGAGCGGGTAGTCAGGACGCAATACCCGGACTGTCGAATTCCACTATCTGTACCGGTGAACACGCGCTTATCAAAGACGGCTTCCGGTCATGGCCTTCAGGTTGGACAGCACTTCAAAGATACTGATTTCGTTTATATGCTAACTCGTCGTTATAGGACATAGTAGCTGTGAGAGATCCACCTGAGTTGTCACAAACGCGCATTGAGAACTAATATAATGATTACAGCGTCGTTTGCCGGATTATTCTATCTCACGCTGTGGCTTAGTGGCAAGCTGCACATAATGGACAACCGCGGCGAGGCCTGGAAGACACTCTTAGTCATGATACCGTCTCTTGCAGCAACGCTTGTTGCGGTGAGCCGTATTATGGATGCAAGGCATCATCCATTCGACGTCATCACCGGATCGCTCCTAGGTATTATCTGTGCCTGCATCTCATACCGTCAATATTTCCCTTCCCTCAACGAGCCCTGGAAGAAAGGACGCGCCTATCCCATCCGGACGTGGGGCAGGGATCCCGTGGGGCCTGCCGAGACTGTCCGCCTGGTGGCTACTGATGGAAGCACTGCCGCTCTAAGGAACCCAGAGGAGGAGCGATTGAACGAAGCTCCTCAGTCAAAGACGACCGGAAGTGATGCTGGTAGGCCCTTGTACCTACCGGAATCTAATCCGTACACTACGAACATGTACGGCTACTCAAGACGTGATGAAGACGACAACTGGTCATCCTCCAGTGAGGATGTTGCTGGTGGATATGAGATGCAACCTGGCTATGCCCGGACGCAGAACCCAGCGTTGAACGGACCAACGGCGCGACTCGATGTTGATACGGCGTACCACTCCCAGACCCCACAGGTTGTACTTGGAACCACCAGTACCCACGAAACCTCGGGCGCGCTCCCGACTCATGCGGACAGAGGGCGGGACCTAACAGATATGCCGTATCGGGAAGTCTAAAACCTCAGTTTTGGTTGATGAATTATGGGTGTATTTTTGCCATTTCATAGACATACTTGGTCGCATTTAGAGATTTGGATAGTTGGATCTGGTATGGTACCGAGAGGGCGAAAGCCGACTATATTACTACAGTGTGGAGGGGGAGAGACCGCAACAGCTCTCCATCTCACTCTCCTTGCATCAGATATAAATAGTCCTGGTTACTTTCCTGGTCGATCCGGGACGCTGCCGCACAAGAGGCAGAAAGCGTTCCTGAGGGCTAGACCGGCGCTCAACCGTGGCTCGAGCACCTCGTGGGCCGGGCAGCCCCACCCACGGCTCAGCTATGGCAACGGCCCTCCCAAAGGCAAGGATGGCGGTAAACACCGAACAATAATCACCAACGATTGCATGTTGAGAAAAAGAATTGTATATCCTTTGTATTGATTGGCGTAGAACTATCGATTCTGGTGACTCGATCCAACTCATAAAGTAATTGATGAAACACCTATTGAATCTCGCTGTTTCAAGGTCGGGCAATAGAACCTTGTTTTCACACTGGGATCCCAGCCACCCCGCCGCCTGAATCGCCCAGCCTCCTCTATCTTTCTCCGACTCGCATATTCATCCCCGTCCGGTCCCTCTTTCTTTTCTCTTCTGCATCTCATCTCCATACTGCCTTGGGCTGGATGCATCATCTCTACCTTGCTTTCTCTAGCACGTAACGGCTGGGCTCGTGCCTTTGATTTGGGCTGCATCTGATCGGCACCTAACCAGTTCTCCTCTATACGTTGTCCGGCGCAACCACCAGAATCTCTCTCGACACGGGTGCTTCACTCAGTACGCCGAACACAGCTAGATTGTGTCGTGAAAACATCGTCTCGTCGGTTAACGTGCCGCGTGTGATGACGTTGTAGTGGCCGCCACGTTCAGCCCAGACTCCTACTCTTATTCACGCTTCTGAGCATCTGATCCTACTATTTCAATTACACTGTGAGAAGGTCAATTCGCAATCTGCGCATATCCGACAAAATGATTGGCAGTATATTCTTCATCTGCAACCGCATTCTGGAGCTTGTCTTCCTGATTCCGATCATCGGAATGATGGTATGTGCATTCCAACCCTAACCCAATCCCCGGACGGTCATGTCTAACAGCACCGATCTAGGCATACTTCGTCAATGGCTACCTCAATGCGAACCAAATTACCCCCGCCTACATTCTCGTCCTCTTCATCGTCAGCGTCATTGCAGCTTTCTGGTGCCTCGATACCCTGATCCGCTTTTCGACCACCAAGCGCTCCGCCATGTTTGTCGCTTTCATCGATCTCCTGTTCTTCGGTGCTTTCATTGCGGGTGTCTACGAGCTGCGATTTATTGCAGGGGCCAGTTGCTCTCATTGGGATGGTGGCTCGGTTTACATTTCGCTGGGTCCCTTCGGATACTACGGCTACAGGACCGATAACCCGCTGTCCTTCCACATTGACAAGACTTGCGCGATGCTGAAGGCCAGCTTTGCACTGGGGATCATTGAAGTTGTCTTCTTCCTCTGGACAGCTATTCTGGCTCTCGCCATCTACAAGCGTCCGGAGGTTGTTGTCAAGGAGACCACTGTCCGTCGCAGGAGTCACAGCAGCCGACGTGGTCACCGGCGCCACAGCAGCTCGGGTCGGCGGCAGCAGTATGTGGTATAAAACGATTTGCATATCAAGCAACAGATATGATGGGATGATACGGATTAATGATTGGAATGGATAACGCGAAACGAACGACACACAGAAAAAAAAGATGAAACAAACGAAGTAACGAGGGAAGGCATACCGACAGCATGAGTCTTAGCAATCAACCATTGATGATCTGTGATTGTTACTGCTCCATATATGATGATAATGTTTTTATTTGACAAAGTTCCTTGTCCCTTTTGTACGGCATTTGATGCTTTCTGACAATGCTATTGTCTTAGCTTTCTCATTTTTGTGGCAATCCCTATAAGATATGTGAGCTATGTTTACGCAAGAACTACTTGCTCGTTAAGTAGACCCCTACATGATCCCCTGGCCATTGATGTGAAGTTGTGATATTGTAAGCTATCTTAGTATGAGAAGATAGACTAGTAAAATAACAGGTTGATATTCTTTACAAACAAGTTTGTAATGGATTCCTCCCACCACCACTTTTGAGCAGGGTCATTACTGCAGAAAGTGAATCCCACTGATCTTCGGACCCGGCCGCTCCCCGCTCTCGATAAGCAGCGCAAAAGTGGGGAAACTTCGACGTGCTGGTCGGGCTGAACACGCTCAGGCTTTTTTGCAGGTAGCTGTTCTTTCCAGAAGATTTATGTATGCCACGTATCCTTGACCCGAATGCTACTCTTCAATTCAAGCATATTCTGCTCTCTCGTTGCCAGCAGAGACAAGTTTCAGCGTTGAAGATGGTCCGCGGCTAGCCGTCGGCAAGTTCGTCATCGGTAAGCTCCGATCGATTAGCCTTATCGGCGAAGAGACTAAGTTAGTACTTCGACTCTTTATTTCTATTCATACCTCCACCGCTAAACGGTATATAATTTAGCCTACTTGCACAGTGGTTGACAACTCCATTCCCACCTAGGTCAAGAGCCTTATTGGGTGCCCGTGTCTTTAGCGGACTTTACATATCCATCTGTGGTTCAGGGAGCATTCCATATGCAGTGAATCAGCGGTCGCCACCTCACTCTCGACCCCTGCCAGCAATGCGACACTCGACCTTCACCACACTACAACTATAATTTACCATTAACCTTCCATTAACTTGCATTTAATGTCGTCTGGAACGGTCCACCAAGATGACAGACAGGGGCAAATGCCAGTACCCGGATGATGTGGACGTCATCCGGGAACGTGAATATCCCTTGCTCAAAGGTAGGTCGCGTGCTGGGTTGCTTCTATGCGTTTCGAACAATAGATGAATGGAAGCTCATTTAACCAATCTCAAATCCAGACACGACATATCTTGACCATGCAGGTACCACGCTTTACGCGAAGTCCTTGATTGAATCGTTCTCCCGAGACCTTACGTCCAACCTCTACGGGAATCCCCATTCCATGTCCGCACCTTCACAGCTATCGACTCAGCGCGTGGATGATATCCGTCTACGGGCCCTTCGTTTCTTCAATGCTGATCCGGAGGAGTTTGATCTCGTCTTTGTGGCGAACGCTACGGCCGCAACTAAATTGGTTGTGGATTCTCTCCGCGACTCAACGCCGCAAGGGTTCTGGTATGGATACCATGTGGAATCGCATACAAGCTTGGTCGGGGCGCGAGAGCTTGCAGGCACTGGGAGCAGGTGCTTCGCGACAGACGCAGAGGTTGAGAGCTGGATTTCTCAACTGAGTACAGAACCGGAGCAAGGACCTCGACTGTTTGCATACCCTGCACAGTCAAATATGAACGGCCGGCGATTTCCTCGTGAATGGTGCGGTAGGATACGGGAGTCAGCTAGAGACACTTATACGCTTCTTGATGTCGCATCGCTTGTGTCGACATCCCCCCTCGACCTAAGTGATGCTTCCGCTGCACCTGACTTTGCCGTTCTCAGCTTTTACAAGATCTTCGGATTTCCGGACCTCGGTGCATTGATTGTTCGCAAGAGTGCTGGTCACATCTTCGACAAGCGGAAGTTCTTCGGTGGGGGAACTGTAGATATGGTTTTAACACAGGGGACAAAATGGCATGCGAAGAAGCAATCTTCGATTCATGAACGACTGGAAGACGGGACGCTTCCGTTCCATAATATAATCGCATTGGGCTCCGCATTTGATACGCATGAGCGCCTTTTTGGATCTATGGATAATGTTTCTTCGCACACCCGCTTCCTAGCGAAGCGATTATATGATCGCATGATTTCCTTGAGACATCATAACGGGGAGAGAGCTTGCCATGTGTACAAGCCATCACACACTGACTATACCGATCCTTCCTCGCAGGGCCCAATCTTGGCATTCAATCTGCGAAGCAGTCAAGGTGCCTGGATTGGTAAATCCGAAGTGGAGAAACTGGCCAGCGTCAGGAACATACAAATTAGATCTGGAACGCTATGCAATCCGGGAGGCACAGCGGCCAGCCTTAACTGGACTGGAGCAGACATGCTTCGACATTTTGGAGCAGGTATGCGTTGTGGCGATGACCATGATATCATGGACGGACGACCTACTGGGATTCTGAGAGCAAGCCTCGGTGCGATGAGCAATATGGCCGATATTGACACTTTTATGGCTTTTATCGAGGAATTCTACGTCGAGAAAAGCCCAACTATGTGTGCGTTGCTGCCACCACCAGAAGCCAACCTTACTCACCGGTCCGGTTTCCATGTCGAGAGTCTGTCCGTGTATCCCATCAAGAGTTGTGGTGCATTCAAGGTACCCGACGGCAAGCGCTGGGAAATCCGGCGAGAAGGTCTGGCATGGGATCGCGAATGGTGCTTGATCCACCAAGGCACAGGTACAGCTCTTAACCAGAAGAGGTATCCTCGCATGGCTCTGATACGGCCATTCGTGGATCTCAGTCAAGGTGTCCTGCGCGTTACCTGTGGATCTATACATTCTCCAAATCAGAAAACGCTTGAGATACCTCTGGATCGCGAGAACAGCAACCTCACGACTACCTCATTATGCCAGAATAGCTCGAAACCTTCTACCGTCTGCGGAGACCAGGTTATTGTGCAAGCATATTCATCTCCCACGGTGTCCACCTTCTTCTCCGATTTCCTTGGTGTACCATGCACACTTGCGAGATTCCCACCTCAATCTTCCACCAGACTTGCCGAGCCCAGACGTGGTGCTGGCAGCAGGAGATCACCACTTGGACAACTTATGCCAGGCGCATTCCCCCAAGATACCCCGACCCCTGAGGCAGAACGAAATCCAATTCTCTTATCAAACGAGAGTCCAATCCTGCTCATCTCCCGCTCATCCGTGAATCGTCTTAACGAAACCATTAAAAGCAGTCCTACCACCACGAACAGCACTGGCCGCAAGAAAGCTGTAGCTGCCGATGTATTTCGTGCCAACATCGTCGTTGCAGAGGATTTTCCACAGCCGGTGAGCGCAGGACGACCGTATATCGAAGACCATTGGGAGAGTTTGCACATTGGGCCCGAGAATCTTCACTTTAACGTGCTTGGGTCTTGTCAGCGGTGCCAGATGGTCTGTGTTGATCAGCTTACTGGTGTGCGTGGTGAGGAACCATATTCGACATTGGCGAAAACGAGGAAGAGTGGGAATAAGATTTACTTTGGGCGGCATTTAGCGATTTCCTCTGGCGATGAGAATAGCACCAAGTCGAAGACAGTAATGGTTGGGGATGTCGTTACTCCATCTTACTATGGGCCATGATTGATGAGTTATGATCTACTTATAGGTTGTGGATAAGCATTGCATTGCATTGGAGCATGTATCAAATTGGAATACCACTAGTTATAGCACGTGTGACATCGTAAATAAGGTGGAAACCTCCTTTGAATGGTTTGTTTGCATTCAACATTCTATTGATACCATTTCCATTCACGCAGACATTCAATGTGCATGATTTTAAGAAACAAGCTATTTGTACAATAAATACATAAGAGGACAAACTCCCGTGCCGAACCCCGACAACAATGATTCAATCGAAACTCTCCCCGAGCTGGATAGACGAATAGATGGTTCCGGCTCGGCGAGATGTATAAAATAGGACAGATGCGACATTATGCAAGCCTCGGATCCATTCCACCCGAGGCGAAAAACAGAAGATAATACATCCAAAAGCGTAAGCATTTACCGCTTGGGCCACGACTTCCAGCCACGACCGTGACCTCTCTGTAAAGTAATACCGAGTCAGTGCACCGTTCTTCATCCTAGCAAAGAGGGATAGATAGAGGGAGAGAAGGGGAATACTAACCTGCTTCCACAAACGGATCATCTCCGGCATCTCCATCATAGCCTTGCGTCTGTCCTCCAGACGAGCCTCCATCGTCCTCTCCCACTTGTGACCCTTGACCTTCTGTCCAATACCAGTACCCTTGATAGCCAAACCACGCTCCGCACGTCTCGTCTCCTTGAACTCCGTCGACTTGCGGCCAGGCGGCAACAATGCCTCAACGTTGTACTTGATCGCCAACTTCACCAGCTCCGCCTGTCGACGCAGTCCAATCCGGGGTCCGAACCACTTGCCGGTGCGGAAGTTCTTGCGCGGCAGGAACGGGTTGGGGTGCTTGGAGTCGGAGTGCAGGATGGCCTTGGAGGGAGAGAATGCCTTAGGATCGGGACGCTTGAAACCCTTGGCATCACGGTTGGGCGTGTAAGGAGAGGGAAGATCCTCGACGTTGACGTTGACGGGGGCACCAGTTTCGGGGGCTTCGGGGCGTGGTGCTACGGCTGCGGAATAGATTTGCGGAGGATAGCGCGCGAAGAAGTTGCGGAGGCGGATGGGGAGCTTGGATACCAAGCTGCTGGATTGTGTGGTGGCCATTTTTGGCTGTTGTTTCCCGATTGCCTCTCCTGTGAATTGGTGAGGAAGGGGGAGATGGGATGGATGGGGGCTTCTTTTCTCTCCGGATAATTCGAGCTGGTGGTGATTCTTTGGATGTCCGCGTTGAGAATTGCAGGAACGGCGCTAAACCGTTTTGGGATGAGGCTCGGGAACTCGGCGAAAAAGAAAAGAGCAAAGAGAAGGGAAGTAACTTTACTGTAAACTGGGTGAACTAACTGGTTACTGCTGCTACTGTTGCTGCTAAACTAACTAGTAGAACTTGTGGCTGGTGCTTGATCCTCCTCCTCTCTCCGTTTTCCTCGCTTTCTCTCTCCTCCTTCTTTCGCGCGCTTCCTTTCCTCCTTTCTATCTGGTCGCCTTATATCTCCGCTCTTCATTTTATCTTGGTCGCTGGATTGCTCCCGATCCGTTTCCTTTCCTAACAGCGTCCCGTCCTTTCTCACCCCTTGTCGCGGACGATCCTTGTCACTACTCTTTTGACCCCGACCACATCAACTGCCATCATGGCGGACTACAACTATGGAGGTTCCGAGGAGGAGAATGCAGAGTTGAAGAAGCTCGAGACTGAGTTGGTATGATGCGATCCTATTTATCATCTCGGTCGGCGGGGAATGCTGCGTCACATGTGCTAACACCTTCGTTGTCGTACAGCTCGATGACCCGGATAACTTCGAAACCTGGGAGAAACTGGTTCGCGCTGGCGAAGCGCTCGAGGGCGGAATCAACCGCAACTCCAACCCCCAAGCCATCACCACCGTGCGCAATGTTTACGATCGCTTCTTGGCCAAGTTCCCGTTGTTGTTCGGTTACTGGAAGAAATATGCCGACCTGGAGTTTTCCATCACCGGCACCGAGGCTGCGGACATGGTATGCATACACCTGACTTAGGGTTGGATGAAGTCAACCGGGATTGCTGATGCTTTCATAGGTGTATGAACGCGGTGTCGCTAGCATCTCGCCCTCGGTCGACCTGTGGACCAACTACTGCTCCTTCAAGGCAGAGACCTCCCATGACGCTGATGTGATTCGAGAGTAAGTATAGTAGAGCTGCTTTCCTTTCCCTTCCCCCACGTAACCGTTACAAACGCAGCACGGACATGGTTGTGATGCCGGACCCGCGTGATGCAAATGTTCATTTGCACCAGTCCCCCTCGCTGACGGGTGAGATTTCACCTTACCCGGACTCTACTGGAGTTTACTTCTCACCCATGGCTTCTCCAGGCTGTTTGCTCTCTCTCTACCCCCTTTGAAGAAACATTTACAGTTGATTTCAAGCCAAGCACCTCCCCTGCACGGACACTAAACACCAGGACTTGTGTTCGGGTGGCACCTATTCTGCGCTCGAAGCAGACGGGGGAACATAAGTTTCATCCACAGTTTGACCATCCTAGTCGTTCAATTGTTTGGGCTCGCACTCATTGGGAATCTGACGCTCATGTTTGCTATCCTTGTCACTCCCCTTCTTTCCCCTCCCAGACCCCCATCTCCCCAGCGCTGTTCTGATGGTGGTGTACCCGTTCTGTTACTAACGTTCGTTTGTTTGCAGGCTCTTCGAGCGCGGCGCAGCCAGCGTTGGGCTGGACTTCCTGGCCCACCCTTTCTGGGACAAGTACATCGAGTTCGAGGAGCGCCTGGAGGCTTTCGATAAGATATTTGCTATCCTGGGCCGGGTGATCCACATCCCCATGCATCAGTACGCTCGGTATTTCGAGAGGTACAGGCAGTTGGCTCAGACCCGCCCTGTGGTGGAGTTGGCGTCTCCGGAGACTTTGACCCAGTTCCGCGCGGAGCTTGATGCTGCTGCCGGGCATGTCGCCCCTGGCGCAAAGGCAGAGGCAGAGGTTGAGCGGGATCTGCGGTTACGCGTGGACAGCTATCACTTGGAGATCTTCTCCAAGACCCAAACCGAGACCACGAAACGTTGGACATACGAGTCAGAGATCAAGCGCCCGTACTTCCACGTCACCGAACTCGATGAAGGCCAGCTGAACAACTGGAAGAAGTACCTCGATTTCGAAGAATCCGAGGGCTCCTATGTGCGAACCCAATTCTTGTACGAGAGGTGCTTGGTGACGTGCGCTCACTACGACGAGTTCTGGCAACGTTACGCCAGGTGGATGGCCGGCCAGCCTGGCAAGGAAGAAGAAGTGCGCAACATCTACCAGCGTGCCAGCTGCTTGTATGTGCCGATCGCCAACCCAGCCACCCGTCTCCAGTATGCCTACTTCGAAGAGATGAGTGGCCGTGTGGATGTTGCCAAGGAGATCCACGACGCCATCCTCATCAACCTGCCCAACCACGTCGAAACGATAGTGTCTCTGGCCAACATGTCTCGCCGTCACGGCGGACTTGAGGCTGCCATCGAAGTGTACAAGAGCCAGCTGGATTCGCCCCAGTCAGACTTGGCTACGAAGGCGGCACTGGTTGCGGAATGGGCTCGCCTGTTGTGGAAGATCAAGGGCTCTCCCGAGGACGCCCGTCAGGTCTTCCAGAAGAACCAGCAGTACTACATGGACAGCCGACCCTTCTGGACCAGCTACCTGAACTTCGAGCTCGATCAGCCCACGAGCGCGTCCACTGAGAATGTCCAGTATGAGCGCATCAAGCAGGTCATCGAGGACATTCGGTCCAAGAGTACCCTCCCGGCCGACGTGGTGCGGGAGCTGGTTCAGATCTACATGGTCTACCTCCTTGAACGTGGCACGAAGGATGCTGCAAAGGAGTACATGACCCTGGACCGTGAAGTGCACGGTCCGGCGTCCGTGTCGAAGATGAAGGCCGCGGAAGTGGTGCAGCTGCCCCCAGCTCAGCCGGTTCCGTCGGCGACGCCTGTGGCGGAAGTTGTGGTCCCAACACCCCCGCAAGCTAACCCCTACGCCTACTATCAGCAGACACCGGTCAACGGTGGCATGTAAGTCTGATGGGAAGTAAAGAAGCTGCTGAATCCGGTTGGCGCGGAAACGCCCAGCCCCAATCTGACTCCTCGCAAAGAGGATGGTACTCTTTCCCGCTCATAGCTTGTGAAAGGCTTGCTGATATGTAGAACAATAATTTCTCTTCTGATGTGTGTGCAGCTTTCAGCGATGGCGTGTTGAGCGAAAGGCGAGGCGGCATCTGCAACGTGCAGAGCCGGTTCTCGACTGCTCTTCCCGATATGATGGGATACGGTTGGGTGGACCTTATGAGTTTGGACACTGTCCCCGTGTATTCTAATGCGTAGGTAGCTTTCATTCGATGCATGTGATTCCAGTTACCTACATAGAAGAGACATGCTGTGCTGTAGTAGTCAAACATATAGAGTAGCCTTATCCTTATCTGCGTTCACGTGATCGAATACTGCGCACATGGCTGCTGTTCCCCACCGTAGAAAGTGGCCAGGCCGCGGGAGACAAACCAAGTAGTTCTGCGCCGAGCTGCAGTTCATCTCATGCTTCATCCTCTGCAGTCGCCATGGATGGTATCATGACCAACGGTTCGTCGGAGGCGCACCCTCCCATGCCTCCCCCGGAGCCCATCGAACGCCCTCCTACTCCCCCGCCCCCACCTCCAGAGGATTCCGGTCTCCCTCCGCCGCCGCCAGACACGTCCGCGCCTCCTCCACCGCCGGAAGATCTTCCACCTGCGCCGCCGCCGGAGACTGAGCCCAAGAAGAAGAAGGTCGGATGGGGCACGAAACGACCGGCCCCTACACCGCTGAGTGTGGAGGAACTCGTACGGAAGAAGCGAGAGGCGGATGCTGCTGCTGCGAAGGTACGACATAGCTCCAAGAATTCCCTACAAGCTCAGATAGCTAACATCCCACCTTTCTTTCCACAGCCGAAATTCCTCTCCAAGAAGGAACGTGAGAAGCTCGCACTAGAGAAACGGGCCCAAGAAGTCGCAGCAACCCGCAGACTCAAATCCGAGGCGTCTAATGGCGTCGACAGAAGTGCTACGCACTCGCCCTCAATCAGCTCCGAGGGCCCTAACGGCGATGCCAGATCCATCCCCACTGGTCCTCGAGCCATGCGCAGCTCAGACTCTGCCCCGACTGCCCCGGCAGCCATGCGCCATTCACAGTCCCATAACAAGAAATACGATCTCGCGCCGCCACCACCTCCCAAATCCATGTCCTTCGGTCTGACAAGCGGAAAGGGCGACAGCCGGTTCGTGGACGAGGACGAAGCCGCGGCGCAAGCAGCCCTAGTGAAGCAAAGATACATGGGTGCGGACCAAACGTCGAACTTCTCCGCCAAGAAGAAGCGCAAGAGAACGACGGACCGCAAATTCAATTTCGAATGGAACGCCGAAGAAGACACCAGTGGCGATTACAACCCTCTATACCAGCACCGACACGAAACCAACTTCTTCGGCCGCGGCCGTCTGGCCGGCTTCGGTGACGACGTCGCAGAATCCGTCGCCCACAAATACGCCCGCGCGCTGGAAGACCGTGACCGCGAAGCAGGCAGCATCCGCGCCAGAGAAATCCTCGAGATGGAGCGCCGCCGCCGAGAAGAAAGCACGCGCAACCAGCTCGACAAGCACTGGAGCGAGAAGAAACTCGAGCACATGCGCGAGCGCGACTGGCGTATCTTCAAGGAAGACTTCAACATCAGCACAAAGGGCGGCAGCGTCCCCAACCCTATGCGCTCCTGGGAAGAATCCAACCTCCCCAAACGCCTCATGGAACTCATCTCCCGCGTCGGCTACAAAGAACCCACGCCCATCCAACGCGCCGCCATCCCCATCGCCATGCAAAACCGCGACCTCATCGGTGTCGCCGTCACCGGTTCCGGTAAAACCGCCGCCTTCCTCCTCCCCCTCCTCTGCTACATCGCCGAACTCCCGCGCATCGACGAATTCGAATGGCGCAAAGCCGACGGCCCCTACGCCATCGTCCTCGCACCGACCCGCGAACTGGCGCAACAAATCGAAATCGAAGCCAAGAAATTCACCGGCCCCCTGGGCTTCAACGTCGTCAGTATCGTCGGAGGTCACTCCCTCGAAGAACAAGCCTACAGTCTGCGCGACGGCGCCGAAATTATCATCGCCACCCCCGGCCGTCTCGTCGACTGCATCGAACGCCGCATGCTCGTCCTCAGCCAATGCTGCTACGTAATCATGGACGAAGCAGATCGCATGATCGACCTAGGTTTCGAAGAACCCGTCAACAAAATCCTCGACGCCCTCCCAGTCTCCAACGAAAAACCCGACTCCGAAGACGCCGAAAACCCCCTCGCCATGTCCCGCCACATCAACCAAGACCACCACCGCTACCGCCAAACAATGATGTACACAGCCACCATGCCCACAGCCGTCGAACGCATCGCGCGAAAATACCTCCGCCGCCCCGCCATCGTGACCATCGGCTCCGCCGGCGAAGCCGTCGACACCGTCGAGCAGCGCGTGGAAATGATCGCCGGCGAAGACAAGCGCAAGAAACGTCTCGGGGACATCCTATCGTCCGGCGAATTCCGCGCCCCGATCATCGTCTTCGTCAACATCAAGCGGAACTGCGATGCCATCGCGCGCGAAATCAAACAGTGGGGATTCTCCTCCGTCACATTACACGGTAGTAAAACACAAGACCAGCGTGAAGCTGCCCTCGCATCCGTTCGGAATGGAAGTACGGATGTCCTCGTCGCGACGGATCTGGCGGGTCGTGGTATCGATGTGCCGGATGTTAGTCTCGTCGTGAACTTTAATATGGCGACGAGTATCGAGAGCTATACCCATCGTATTGGTAGAACGGGTCGTGCGGGTAAGAGTGGTGTTGCTATTACGTTCTTGGGTAATGAGGATGCCGATGTTATGTATGTTCCCCTTCGTTGTTCTGCTTGTGTTGTGGATGATGATACTAACGCTGATATAGGTACGATCTCAAGCAGATGCTTATCAAGTCGCCCATTTCGAGGGTTCCGGAGGAATTGCGGAAACATGAGGCTGCGCAGTCGAAACCGACGAGGGGATTCTCGTCGAAGAAGAACAATGAGGAGGGTGGCGGTGGTGGTGGGAAGTCGGGGTGGTAGGTTATTTACTCTTTTATCTTTCTGCCTAGCTATTTGTCTATCATTAATAGATGGATTTATGGCTAGGCGAAAGACTTATCATTATGGTATAGAAAAGGCTTTATCATACTACCATATGAAGAGGAGGAATTGCTTTTATAATTTGCATCAAGCCGATATGGACACGGCGTATGTATCATACCTTATCAGCGAATCATACAAACTTCCAGACAACGAACTGATGGAGATGCGAGTTCTTATTTTCTATCTTTTTTTCTCTGTTCTAATTATACACCCCGAACATAGTCGGTTGGGTCTCATTTATATTCTCATTTCAATCGGCATTCGCCATAAATTCCGAAATATGTCATGCAAGTATGATTTACAGCTTACCATTGTAGCTGTTGGCCTTGAGCCACGACTCCACGTCCGCCCGGTCACGCTGGACCCAGTTGACCTTGGCGCGGACCGAGTCGAGACTCTGCTCAACTGCACGGTCGAAGCCCTATACGAGAAATTGAGTTAGCGAGTTCAACTTGAAGGGAACAATTAATCGAACGAAGGGACAGGCCTACCTTGGTGTCCTTGCTCTGGAAAAAGTCCTGCACGTCCTTCAACTGCTGCTCCGTGCAGAAGCTGGCCGTGCTGAGCTGCACCACCGTGCCCAGCATACCGAGGGACGGAGGCAGACGCTTGTAGATGGCATCCCAGTTGTTCTTCAACCAGGTCCAGCGAGCCTCGATACCCGCGGGGTGGCTGCGGAGACCACCCAGGGGCATGTAGATGTCCTGGTTCTTGACCTCGTCGCTGCTGGCCAGGTCCAGAGTGCGCTGGATCAGGGCGGGGTCCTCGGCGGCACCCAGGCAGCGGAGGGCTGTCGTCTTCTCATCGGAAGTGGGGGCGTGGCGGAAGCGGTCGAGGACGACGTTGTACTCCTTCTCACCACCGTTCTTCAGCACAATGCTGAACACGCTGCCACGGATGTTGGGGTGGATGGCGTTCTCGTCGCCAGCGGCGAACCGCTCGAACATGTCCTGGGCGGCCTTGACGACGACGGGGTCCTCAGCCATACCAGCACTGCCGAACATGAGAGCCTTAAACTGCTGCAGGATGTGGCCGTCCTTCTCCGAGAATTCCCATCCGAGCTCGTGAGCCTTGTGGCTGACCAGAGAGCGCTGGAAGGCCTTCAAGGCGTCCCGGGTGGCGGCATCCTCGAAGAGCCAAGCAGCCCGCAGAGAGCCAACACGAGTCAGGATCTCGTTCCACACGATGAACTCGGCCTCGCTGTCGAAGCCCTTCAGAAGCGAGAGCAGGCCGGAGGTGCTTTGGAAGCCGGACGCGGCCAAGGCACCGGCATCGGCAATCATACCGGCACGGTCCTCGACGCTCAAAAGTCCGCTCTTGGCAGCCTCACCCAGCTTGGACAGACGCTCCGGGGTGTACGAGGTGCGGTAGATGGCGGAGTGGTCGGCGTTGAGCTTGTAGAAGTCGAGGTCGGGCACCTTGAATTCGCCCTCGCGCTCGGTAAGCATGGTGCTCTCGTCGATGCCATTCTTGGTGCGCAGACCCAGCATGACGGGGTAGAGCGTGGTGTCCTCGTCGGGGCGGACATCACCGGTGCGCAGGAAACGGTTCTGCTTCAGCTTGATGGTGGAGTTGCTGGGGTTCTCCGAGACGGTCACCACGGGGAAACCGACCTTCTTGGTCCAGATGTCCATGACCTCCTCCACGGGCTTTCCACTGGCATTAGCCAGGGCGGCCCACAGATCACCCGTCTGGGTGTTGCCGTAGGCGTGCTTCTTGATATAGTCGCGCACGCCCTGGATGAAGACATCCTCACCCATGTACTTGGAGATCATGCGCAGAACGGAAGATCCCTTGGAGTAGGAGATGGCATCGAAGATCTGGTTGATCTCGTCGGCACGCTTCACGGGCACCTCAATGGGGTGACTGCTACGCAGCGAATCCAGGGACAGGGCGCCCTGCAGGGTGTCGATGACATAGGTCTGCCAGACCTTCCACTCGGGGAAGAAGCTGTTGCAAGAGTACCAGGACATCCAGGTCGCGAAACCCTCGTTGAGCCAGAGACCATCCCAGAAGTCCATGGTGACCAAGTTACCGAACCACTGGTGGGCCAGCTCGTGCTGGACAGTCTCAGCAATACGCTCCTTGCGGGCGGCACCGCTGGTCTTCTCATCCAACAGCACGTCCACGACACGGTATGTGATCAGAC